AGTAGACGTTCGAGTAATGGTAGCGAATCGGTTCGTTCGAACAGTTCATTTTAACGCAACGGTTGACAGAATGATTCATCAATCAAACGAGTCATCACTCAAAAGAGTTCTTATACGAAATGTTCGTGTTTGGAGTAAAGTACATGTTTGTTAAATACGCTACTGCTTTTTGTATTGATTTTGAATAGGTTGTACTTATCATTTAAATTATGTTCCCGCTAAAATTTGTACTTCGAATGCTCTCCTCGAAAGATTTACCATCGAGATTAATTTAAAAGATTCCAACAACGTTTTTATTTTTTCATGAATCAAATCTTAATACTGGATCCACACGTGCCCACGGCAGATCCAAGTCATGAATTCAAGTCTCGAATTCATAATGAAACTAGGCTAGCATAAACAACTAGCTTTTGGTTTTAAAGGTACAGCAATTATAAACCAGCATCTCAGCGTCAAAACATACCTAACCAGCATATGCTGTTTTTTTCAACAGGGTTTACTGATCAGTAAAACAAACAAACGCAATATCCACAATCCAACTAAAATACAAAATAAAATCCCACCCAACTTTTTTCTTCATTGAATATCCTGAGTCACCCAGAAATATGTAATATTATGGCAGCAAATATAATATTTGACGTTAACATAGAAGTCTGGATAATAAAAGTTGCTTGCAGAAAAATACACTCACCATTGGTTGAGCCAACGTTGTTCAGGGGCTGTTCATGCAGTTTTTCTGTGGAAACACGCACTAGACAGATATGTTATGACACTTGCGCTTGTGTCTTTTTTAGCGTCTCGCACATGAAACTGCATTATAAAGATGCAGCGCCCAAGTTGCAAAAAGTAAAACTTGTAAGATGACACGTCTAGGTCTCTACACCATTATCTTTTCATTCCACTGTCCTGCGTCTCATGTTTTATTAATGCAAAAACACATTCTGTGTGAATGGCCCCTCAGGCTGCTCTTGATGTTTAAACAATGGAGCACAATGCTTTCATTGCACCACAGAGACAAAGTTTTTACGACGTCACCTTTAAGAAATGGTAGCACAATGCTTTCGTTGTCATGTCATAAAAACTTTATTTTTCATAATACATGGTCAACTTATGCTTAATCAAGTCAAATATTTAAACATCATAAAATACCATTCTCTCACGGTAGCATTTTTTTCCTGAACGATTAGCTGTATGTTTTGTGATCCTGCTGGGCATGTTAGTGCAGATCAGCGATAAAGCCGGTGTCGCCGCGGAGGTGCTGGTCCTGGAAGGGTGAGGGACCCTGATCCCGTGTCCTGTCTGAAAGAGCAGGAAGAATTTAGTTGGTGCACTTAACCTGTTTGAGCACCAGCAATGCACAGTAAGGTCATCAACAGCGCTCTCTCCACCTTCAATACCACGACTGAGGTGCCCTTGAGCAAGGCACCGAACCCCCAACTGCTCCCCGGGCGCCGCACCATAAATGGCTGCCCACTGCTCCGGGTGTGTGTTCACTGCTGTGTGTGTGCACGTAGGATGGGATAAATGCAGAGCACTGATTCCTAGTATGGGTCACCATACTTGGCCACATGTCACGACACTTTCACTTTCAAACTTCTTTTTGTGAAATGTTTAGTTATTTATATATATATATATATATATATATATAAGATAATATTTGATGCATTCAGTCATTTTAAGTGACTTTTTGGTCTTCACCGAGTCATTAGATGAGAAGTGCATAAATGTCTCACCTGTTGTCATCTGGTAGGAGATGTTATGTTGTGTTAGGAGTGATCGTAGCCGCTCTATCTCTGCTCGCTGCTTTTCAAAATCCTGTGGGAAACAAAAAGTTGAATTCATAAGCAAATCTAAAGCTGAGCGCATTGCATGTGTCCTGCACAAAATATTTAGTCCTAAATTTAACATTTATGAATTTGATCAAATTTGGATATATTTTCAGTGATAACATTTTGCATTAAAAATGTCCATTTATTTCTATTACATGGTTAAAATAAACTAATAAACAAAATATGATGCATATTTGTCATTCATACATAAATGAAACATCTAATTTGTTCCAAACAACAACATTTTAACTGAATATTGCTTGTTCCACAGTTAGCCATATTTTAACCGTTCATACTTTTTAACTCTTTTTTGACAAAGAACTGATTCTAAGCAATGTGAATTAATGCAATTAAAAAATATGATAATTAAATAAATGCAAATAGTTAATAATAAACTATTCCATGATTTTTTGATTGCTTGAGGTGAGTGCTACCCGTTTCATTTTTGACAAATATGCATCTCATTACATTTATTCGTTTGTTTAAAACTGAAATCCAAATGGATGGACATGTTTAGAACTAAATATTTGTCTGTCTGACCTGTGTGCACTGCTCCAGACTCGGATGTGTGAGAGACATCGTGCTCTCCTCTGCTTTCGGCTGTTGAGCTTTTCTCAGGAAACCAGCCTCTTCAAACAGCTCCTTCAGCAGCTTATTATAACCCTGAACACACACAAATGCCTATTATTATGATGTTCTCAGATGCATGAAGATTAGAACATTGTGTGTCACCTGTTCTGTGATGAGATCTTCATATCGAGCTTGAGCAATTTCATCCCACTCCTTCTGCAACGCCTCACTCAAAACCGGATACACTGAAAGACAAGCGAACAATCAGACATGGTTTATAGTAGATAGGTGTTCAACTAACTAGTGGGTTATTTATTTAAATTTTTTTAAATCACATGACATTAACTCACCCAAGAGGGAGTGTGAATGGCAAACTAGTGGCGTCTCAAATATCAGTGAATAAACACACGTCTGAGGCTCTGAAACACTCACTAGTTTACTGCTATTCCCACAAACCAGGAGAACCTTGAATAGAGACATCTCAACATCCATCACATTTTACTGGCAGAAAATATGCATACAGATACAGCTACATTCAAAACGTATCCATAAACTCACATTACAATTAACACAAAGACAGTGTGTTCGTGTAATACAGACCTTGGTCTGTCTGTTCTTGTTGCCGCATGAATCTCCTTCTCGCATCCACATGCCAGTAAACGTGTTATTCTGAATCTCCCATTCTTGCCAAATACTACACACGCACAGCAGAGATTTCACATATACAGTTTTAAGCTAAACTAAATAGAAGAAAGCATAATAACAACTTGGACAAAAAGCACTACCCTAGTATACCGCTGTATGCATTCCATCTGAAGCTCTGTTCATGCTGAGTCACATTATGAAATGGACAAAATACATATTTGTATCTAAAAAAAGAAGAAAAAAAATCAGTTTCTTTTAACTGCACACAATTACTTTTATGGAAGCTGGTTTCTGCCATGGTATAAAAAAAATACAAATAAAAAAAGGTCATTGTGACTTTTTATCCCACAATTCAGACTTTCGTTTTTTTTCAATTGTGCATTAATTGCGAGTTCACATCTCGCAATTTTGAAAAGAAAAAAATAATCTGAATTGTTAGATAAAAACTTCTTTTTTTTTATCCAATGGCAGAAACAAGCTTCTATACAAATACTTTCATGACAAAGTAAAAAACAAAAACAAAAAAACAAAGTTGAACCTGTACAGCTCAAGACACGGGCTAGTTGTCACTTCACTTCAGTAAATATTGCGAACATTTCCACAATAATTGCAGGACAAAAAAAAAACTAACTAATGTTGCTCTTTAGCAGGGCATGTTGTCACAATAGAAACTTCCAGTAAAATTTAAGCAGTAACACAAAAATGCAAAATAAATCATGAAACCGTAACAAAAGTATCTAATTATTGTTTTGACCAGAAAATAATGTAATGAATAAATTGTATACATTTTTACATTTTAATTTGACATTTAAAACACATGTGACAACTTGAAAACAAACATTTTTGTCTTTAAATGTTGGACTCAAAACCTCATAGTTACTGAGATCCAGCCTCTGTGACAACTAGCCCCAGTCTCTCCTATATGTAAGTGAACACAAGTATAGAATAAAGGTATGCATGCATTTTGAGCAAATATGCTTTTTCGATAGTTCTTAAGTTGTGCAGATATTACTGACATGGCTTCAATGTAGTTGTAACACTTCCCTGCCAGTCTGAGCAGATGTGGAGGTCCAGACACTGGAGACGGGCTGATCTTCGCCTGCAGTCGATTATTCTGAGACACAAGCTGATTATTCAGCCTGAGAAACCAAAGTGAGAAGAATAGGAAGATTCAGAGTCTGCTGTATGAATACATCTTATATTTAATCTAAAATTGTACTGCTGGACACCTCACCCAAATGTATTAGGTTCCTCCACTATCTTCATCTTCCCTCCTGATGTGACAGTCACTGGAACAGCAAAAAACGGGATACTGACATTATTATTATTAACTAAACCCCCTAAAAACAACCCAAACCCTGTATGTAAAGCCCTAAAGAGGCTTTTAGAACTAACACATTGAACAGTTTTAGCTGTGTTGATCTGATGATCTAATCATGCTCCATCTATAACACTTACCCAGTGCTGTCAGATACAGGCACAGTTTGAAATATACACACTCCATAACTCTTCAAATAGTGGGGTTTGTGAGGAAAAACTACATTTCTTGTTTTTTTATCTCTGTTCTGTCATGTGACAGAACTGAACGCATTACTGATGGGAAGATGTTATGTTTTATGAACGTGTTGCTTGCGAAATGCATCATTATAGAAAAAATATTTTACATTTAACAGATATGCGATATAATCATAATTAATTGACCTAAACGTGTCCCTTTTTGCGGTTTAATTTAAACACAAAGACGAAACATTCATTAAAACGTTCGAGAATATCGGAAGGGCGGCGATAGACGTAAACCAAAAAATATTATGCTGCATTTCCGGGTTTAATTCTTTCTAAAATAAAAGTCTTCTTCCGTTTTTACTTTATCGATAATTATGTGTCTGCTTTGTATAACTGGTTCATAATTTTTTGCTTAAAATTTACATTTATATTCTATAACCTAAAGCAAGATAATATTAGCTTTTATATAATTTAACTACATTAGCGTTTTTTTGTGCTTGGTTCTGATAACAGCCATGTTTGATTACGTCACCGTGTTTTGGCCTCACGAAACAGCGTGTCAGAATAAATCCTTAGGATTTGACTTAAAAGAATATAAACATTAGAATGTTTGCCATGGTTTAGTGTAAAGTAGATGCATTACTGGTGTGCTGTAAGATGTAAGGTGGTTAAATAGGGTAAAATACAATCAATCCATTACACACGCGTGAAAGTTGTTCCTAAAAACAAAAGTACGGTGGGTTTCAGACATGGGACGTAAAAAACAGGGTAAATGCGAGCGACCGGTTCACAAGGGCAAAGACAGACGACACAGGATGAAGGGGAAGTCACTAGAAACTTTCACAGAGGAGATGCATGAGGCTCTGCAAGGTCTGTCATAGTTATGGATGAATGTAGAGGAAATGCATGTAATGTTGTCATCTTTTTGAAACATGTGAGATTAGGTTCATGACATAAAGTGAAATACTCTCTTAATATTTTTTTTGTAATAAAGCTTGACAGACATGAGTTGTGTATAAGGAAGTTGTGCCTGTGTTTCAGCCAGTGAGGATGCGGATTCAGAGGCGGCAGGAGGTGTGAAGTTGCCCTGTCAGTTGGCCATGTGGGATCTGGGTCACTGTGACCCGAAACGGTGTACAGGACGCAAGCTGGTCAGGAAAGGTTTTGTGCGCTGCCTGCGACTCAACCAGCGCTTCAATGGCCTGATACTCAGTCCGATGGGAGCCAAATACGTTACACCCGCAGACAGGTGTTGGCCACAGATCAGAAATGTTTGTTGAGCATCAAATCAGCATATTAGAATGATTTCTGAAAGATCATGTGACACTGAAGACTGGAGCAATGATGCTGAAAATTCAGCTTTGATCACAGAAATAAATTACATTTTAAAATATATTCACATAGAACACAGTTGTTTGAAATTATAATAATATTTCACAATATTACTGTTTTAACTGTATTTGTGATCAAATATTTATTAGCCTTGGTGACTATAAGAGACTTCTCTTAAAAACATTTTAGAAAATCTGGCCGAGCCCAAATTTTTGAACGGTAGTGCAGTTAAATTTGCTAGACGTTGACATGTGAATTTGTTTCTCTGTGATAATGCATCAGGATTTCGTGACCTTGCTGTGCTCCTGCTGAGTAAGTTTAAGTGGGGCTTGGGATTTTTGGAGCTGAATAAGACTCTTCTAGAGCGTTACGCTTCCAGCCAATCAGAAGAGGAACTACTGGCTGTGGAGAAAGAGTTTCTCAGTGCCGCCCCTCAGGAAGAGGATTTAGGTACGGTTTGATGATTTAAAATAGTCAAATGTACTGTAAGTGTTTTGAAAATATTAACTTTGATGTTTTTTGTGTGTGTGTGTTTATTTAAAATGTGTCCAGATCCTTTCGATGTGGACTCAGGAAGAGACTTTGTGAATCTCAACAGACCAGTCCAGTGAGACTCTGTTTTTTTTTCTTATTCTGTTAAAAATTTATGTTTGAATATTAAAATACTTAATTTCCATTCAAATGAAAGTCAGCTGAAGTAACCCGTGTGTGTTTGTACACTCAGGGCTGAGGACGATGACAGTGACGAGACATCAGAGGAGGAAGATGATGGTGAGGAGGAAGAACAGAAGAGTAAAGAGGAAGATGATGAAAGAGATGAGGAGTCTTGAGTTGTGTAGTCTTAAAATGTAACATTTGGGGAAGAAGGATGTTTAGTCACTGATTTAGTAACACTGACCTTCACTTGACATGAGCAAACTTCTGTTTTCTGCATGTTTGCAGATGGTTGCAGATATAGAACTAGTAAGTTAACTAAACCAGAGTAATCAGGTGCTGTAGTCATGATTTCAAAAAGCAACTTCTCCAAAGACGTTTTAAAATGCGCAAAATGTACTATTTGTTCACGAGAAGAATCTTCTCAAACTGTAATAACATTTATTATTGCAAAAAAAAGGTTGACTTGTTTATAAGCAGAATGAAATGTTTAAATAAATATTAAATGGCATTTGCTGCATTCGAGTATGGCTTACTAGCTGTTTTATTAATTGGAGTGCCATTTTCAATCCAGTCTGCGTATTTTATTTATTTACATGTATATCTATTGGGGCTGATTACCACATGCATACATTATTGTGTATTCTACTCTAAGGCAAGGATTTTCAATATTTTAGATGCCATGGACCCAAATATGATCATCCCTGTGTGAGGGACCCCAGCCTAAAATTGTTCATGTATAAAGGCCCAATTTATATTGTGAAAATTTGTATTACACATGTTTAAAATATAATTTTCTACTAACTATAGCTTATTATTTATGCTGTATTTAAATTGATCACATTTATTTAGATTTTATTCATTTATTTTGATATTTTTTGTATTTTTAAATAATTTAGTTTAATTTTATATAATTACATATAATTTGATTTATATTACTGTTCATTCATTTTTGTTATTTATATAATTCATGTATTTTTATTTTTTCATTATTTTAATTCTATTTTGTTTATTTATCTATAAAAATTATTCACATTTTTACACTGTTTCTCTATATTTTCCCTAGACTTCCCAGAAAATCATGACATTACCATGGTTTATTTCCAAGACCGTGATATTACCATGGTGTCCAAAAAAAACATGCTAAGTATGTTGTGTTATGGAAATGTTATAGTAATTCAAATGTGGGCAGTGTTGGGAAGGTTACTTTGGAAATGTAATAGGTTACAGATTACAAGTTCCCCTATCTAAAATGTAATAAGTAGTGTAACTATTTCAATTACTTTATTAAAGTAATGTAACTGATTACATTTGATTACTTTTCTAAATTTCTATTTTCTATATCTATGCATAGCTATGACAGGAAACACTGGCATCCAACAATGGCTTGGAAAAACAGAAATCCTATGCATAAACCCAAACAGGAAATAAAACAGTTATCGAAAAAGTCCTATTCTGTGTACTAAACTCCTGAAACAAAGATGTCTCATATTTTTGAGCAGTCACGGCATCTTATGAAGGAAAATCTGTGTGGGTGTGCATGTGTGAAAAAATATTCAGATGTAACCGCCTTTGTAGTCGTTAACATTTTCATAAGTTACTGTCATTTAATTACACATTTATTCTAAGTAACTGTAACTGAGTACAATTCCGTTTTTGTATTTAAATTATGTAGGCTAATTTAGTTACATGTAACTACTTTCTCCCCAACACTGAATGTTACAGTATAATTATACATTTAAGTTGCCTACTGAGTAATATTAATTAACTACATGTACACTAGGCCTATATGGTGTTAGGATTAGGGTTTGACTAAGGGTTACTTGCATGCAATAATGCATAATTTATTGTTAAGTAGTTGTAACGTGTAACAAGGAGGCCTTAAAATAAAGCGTTACCTTATTTTGTAATTAAATTAGGCCTACGTAATTTGGTTGCATGTAAAGTTACTCCCCAAAACTGAATGTGGTGAGACAAATCTGCTGATGCACAGTTGCAAAACCACTTCCATACCTACTGGGGATTTGGGGGGATTCGCCGTTTGGGGGCGCGCGGTATTTCTTCTTCTTTTGACTGCAGTGATGTTGTTGTGGCGTGACGTCACAGCCGTGAAACGAAGGCGCAGAGAGCGGGCGGCCATGACTCCAGTCTCCACAATTATTTAATCCCAAATAAATTACCCACGGAAAACTTCCATGGCAAGAGCCACGAGTCAGATCGTGAGTACCGCCAGCGTCTGGGGAGCGCGGGTTCGAAGCCGCCTCGCGCCGCGTTGCTTGTAACGGCGTTTTTTTAGGGGGTTGGCGCGACCCGAGGCTTTAGCTTAGCATGTTAGCATCATTAGCCCGCTAGTCCTCGAAACAAGCGCCAGTCTATTAACCAGGAAGTGTCAACTTTTGTTTCTATTTGTAATTTATACAGGGATTTCTGAATGAATTATTAGGCTCGATGTTGATATTTTTAAAAGAACCGTGTAAGAACATGCTCACAGTGTTGTGTGTTAGCTCTGCGAGCTAATTCTGTCAACAAATGAAGTTGCTTGTTTTCTTAGCCGTTAGCCTGACCGCTAACTCACGACATAGGCGTTTGCTTCTGCTCGTCTTAAACTTGCTTTAAATATACGTTACGCAAATAATTTTTGTCTCTAAGTATTAATTAAACGAACGTCCAGGGCTTGTTCTTGAGTCTCCGACAAACTAAAACCCGGTTTTTGAGTCAGTAGCGCTTCTAGCACAAGTCGCCTCAGGTTATTTTGCCTCATTTGCGTCTATGTTTGCTGTTAGTTTGTCATTATAATCTGTAATTAAGGAATATTAGCAGTATTATAAATATATATATATGTAGCTGTTTATTAACATGTCTGTGTTATCATTGGTATATTTAAGTGTGTTATTTATAGTGAAATAAACCGACTCAGAGTTGCGGCCTATAAAGTGGCTTAGAGATTTTTAAGGTTTCACCTTCTCAGGTGCTTTTGACAGTTGATTGTTACCATGTATAACTTTATATATATTATTATACTCTTGAGAAACCCCTTATGAATATGATTAGTGAATTATCAGGCTCATAGGTGGTCATTTTGAGGCACATCATATTAAAGGGGTCATATGATGCTTTTTTTAAATATCATTATTTTGTGTATTTGGTGTAACAGAATATGCTCTCTCTCTCTCTCTCTCTCTCTCTCTCTCTCTCTCTCACACAATGCGCAAAACTTCGCATATGAACAGTCAATAGCAAATACTGAAACTAGTAACCAAACAGTAGCTGATTAAGAAGCGCCAGATTGTCAGAATGACCTCCTCTCCTAGGTTCACGAAACGGTGGTCCATAAAATGCATTGCTGTTCTGTTGTAAGTAATCTTAAAGACTCCTAAATGCATCTACTTTCGGAAGGCCAAATAAAGTGCTTTTGCTTTCACCTAGAAACACACAGCGTCTCCCTGACATGCTGCTTCAACACTAACTGCGGTTACTGAAACCACGCCTTCTTTCTTTGTGTGCACATTTGGGCGGCATTATGCTAATATTTCCACATAGTGAGGTAGATATGTGGGGGGGGGGGGTTAGAACGGGTCGTTTTAGGGGGGGGGGGCAGAGCCTTAACTTTGATAAAGAATATCTCTTTGGTTTTGAGACTTTAGTCTTTGCAGCTTCAGGGATCTTATCTATGCACAATCAGCTTGTAACACTCCAAAGAGAAAGTAAAACTTGATATCGCATCATATGACCCCTTTAAACTGTGTATGTAGCTGGTATAGATTTATCAAGATGTAAACATGCTTTAATCTAGCAAAGTAACCTTGGTCTGTTATTTCTGTAATTATCAATACTGCATGAGCTTCAGTGAGTGTTATGAATTAATATTGTGGTGCATAGGTTGCAAAAAGGAGGTAAGGGTAATTACGGGATTATTGCTGGAGGTTTGACTAAAGTTCTTGTTGACATGTGTGACTCATGTTTTATAGAGGTGTTTTGAAGATCGTTAGTGTAGGAATGCTGATTATGAATAATGTGAGCTGTAGTTACAGGAAACTGTGATTATTATATCCAACAGTGTGTGAGAAAGACCGTGCATATGGATTTGTAGTGTGTATTAGTTCCCTTTTTAAAAATGTAACTATTATATCCAGTGTAATTTAAGCAGAGACAAAAATTTAAGTTGTTTAAAACAATTATATATTGTGATAGCTGTGTTTGGATGCTCTTGAACTCAAAATCTACAGTCAGGATGACACTGTTTTCATTTATCAAAAGCTTTAGGGGTAATCATTTGTGTTCTAGGTGAGCCTAGAATTGTTAATTATCAATATCTAGAGTGTTGATACATAAACCATATGCTCTTGTCCTGCTTAAATTAGGTGGTTTGCTATCAAATCTGAGTGATGTCATTGCACTTAACTTGAATTTACAGTAATGACATCACACATACAAGCATTACATCAAATTTAATATATATATATTTTAATACTTAAAAAATATGAGTTTATAGATGAGTAGTTGATAGAAATGAGAAGTTTATAGATTTTGTGTTCTACATATTCTACGAGCTATATATTAATGTTGAGAAAAAAATTGTATATGATTGTTATTTTTGTATTTTGAAGTATTTAAGTATATATATATATATATATATATATATATATATAATTTTATGTATTATTTGTTAAGTATCTTAATAATATAGTAATATAGTTTATAGAATATGAATATATATTGACTTAACATTTTTTATATAATTATAATGAAAATGTTTTTTATATATATATATATATATAATTTTTATAGATCATTTTTTATTTTCTATATTTTTTATATTTTATATATATATATATATATATTCTATAAATTGAAATATTTAGAAAAAAAATCAAATAATAGTAGTAATTTCATCAGAGGTAGTAGTTGAGTAATGTGAGAAGTACACTGACTTGGTCTCTGTCTCTCTCTCATCAGTATGATGTTGCATCCCTCCACTCCTCTGTTCTCATCTCCTGTCCATCCATGGTAAGAGGCCAGCAGGACACGCCCCGTCTCCACGGCAACAGCATGGAGGGACAGGCACCACCCCCCCAGCCCACCCAGCCTCGCAAGAAGAGACCCGAGGATTTCCGCTTCGGCAAAATATTGGGAGAAGGCTCTTTCTCAACCGTATGACATGCACACATCGATGCACATCTGATGTACCTTAGCTAGTATTACTCATTTAATGTACTAACCTTTGCTATCTTTGCTACTTACAGGTTGTCTTAGCAAAGGAGCACTCGACGGGGAAGGAATATGCAAGTAAGTCATTATACCATCAGCCTGTGGTTCATACGCATTCGGTTTATCTGTATTACTTTTGACATGAACTACTAGATGTGAGCCTGTACTGAAAAGTGTTGTTGCATGTGTTTCAACAGTTAAGATCCTGGAAAAGCGCCATATAATGAAGGAGAACAAAGCGCAATATGTCAAGAGAGAACGAGACATCATGTCACACCTGGATCATCCGTTCTTCGTCAAGCTCTACTTTACTTTTCAGGATGAAGAGAAGCTATGTATCCTTCACATAACTAGTGGTTGAGCAATATAGATTTCCAGTGATCATATCTAAAGAGCACAGTAGGGTATCATATTTACATGAAAATTTGCTAAACCATTTAAATACATATATTTTTATTGTGTAATATATTTTAGGGCTGCATGATAAATTGTATTTTAATCACGATTTCTGATTCTATTGATTTATTAAGCATAATCATTTGTGATATTTGCCCCCTGGTTATTTATCCTGAAAAAGTTTGTTTAATTTCGCATTCTCTTGCATTTTGAACAAGCCTCCACAAGCTTTCATGGTTGCTGTTGCCAGATTTCAAGAGTTTAAGTACCCCAAATCAGAGTTTTATTTTTATTTTATTTTTTTCGTAAAGTGATATATTTTCTTCCCTACCTGGCAATCATGTGCATGCACTGTCTCTACATTACAGAAAAAGCCCAGATGAGCTGAAAATACTGGCATGTCTTTGGGAAATTAGTGAGACATTGGAGATATTCTGCTCAAATAAAAGTGTAATCCAGCCAATATGTTTTCTTTCACATGGTCATTTGCTGTGAGCAAACCATGCAATTTGACGTTCTCTTGATTTGTGCTTACGTGAAAGTGCAATAATTCTATGAAATGTAAAAAAAAAAAAAAAAATTTAAATGACGATAATCATGATTAATAACTGTGATTATATGTATTTTATTATGTATTTTATTCTATTTATGCACTTATTTAATTATTTCGTCTACTTATTTAAAAAATACATAAAAATATTTAAGATTTTACCAATTAATTGGCTTGGCTGATATTGATAGATTACTACACAAGACCTGTCTAATGTCAACACTGCATTTAATCGAATGCTTTCCTGAATGCACTGTCAGATTTTGGATTGAGCTATGCTAAAAATGGCGAACTGCTCAAATACATTCGAAAAATAGGCTCATTTGATGAGACCTGCACGCGTTTCTACTCAGCTGAGATTGTTTGTGCTCTTGAGTACTTGCATCAGAAGGGCATCATCCACAGGTCAGTAGGTTTGTCTTCAAGGTGTCCGTATCAATCATTTTATTTGTTCCATTTTCTTTTTTTTTCTATTGCGTGATGTTGAGTTATGTGTTATTGTGCTTTTGTTACAGAGATCTGAAGCCAGAGAATATTCTGCTCAGTGAGGAGATGCACATTCAAATAACAGACTTTGGCACAGCCAAACAACTGTCCTCTGACAGCAAACTGGGTAAAACACACATACACTGCATAACAATCGTCCTCTGACTGTAAACATTTATACAGAAGTATCCTCTAATGACAGTGCTTTTACTAAGTGATATTGTCATTCTGATGTCTCCCCTGCAGCAAGAGCAAACTCATTTGTTGGTACGGCTCAGTATGTCTCTCCTGAATTACTGACTGAGAAATCTGCCTGCAAGAGGTAAACACGGCTGATGAATATTTAATGGTGTGCAGTTGAAATGCTTTCATCAGTAATGAACCGGGCCTAATTCAGAGATGCTGTTTGTCGCTGTGTTTATTTAGTGTTTTTTCTTCTGAATGCAGGTGACATTTTGTGCAATAACTAAGCAAGACCAAGAAAAGAGGTTTATTTGAGGGTTTGGCTAAAGATACTTATCCTAACTGTCTTATTTCTTGTTGCAGTTCGGATCTCTGGGCATTAGGCTGCATCATCTACCAGCTTGTTGCTGGTTTGCCGCCCTTCAGAGCTGGGTTGGTTACTTTTCAGATGTGTAAAACTGCATTTTGGTTTCTTAAAATTGCAATTTTATTGTGCTAGTAACACTTTTAATAAGATTCAATTTGTTTGTTAGTTAATGCCTTATGAACTATCAATGACTAACAATAATTCAGGTAAATGGTAATTCAATCCTTTTGTTCATTATTTTCATGATCGTGTTTAATTCAAGTGTCATTTAATTAATATAACTTATATATGTAGTTAATAAATGCTTGTTTATTGTTGTTCATATTAGCTAATGCATTAATATTAACAAATTAAACCATGTTGTAAAGTGTTTTATTAGTGTGATAATATTTTGATAGTTGTCACTAATTGACTAGTTGGTTATTGGACGATCATAATCCATCCCTAACATCTACTTTGTCCATGTGATGAAGTGTAAGCCTCCAGTCACTAATCATTGTTTTCTTTTAATCCATCAGGAATGAGTATCTAATATTTCAGAAGATTATAAAACTTGAGTACGAGTTTCCTGAGAAATTTTTCCCCAAAGCTAAGGACCTTGTTGAACAACTTCTGGTCAGCCTTATTGAATTATAAATCTTTGTTGATAGTGTAGGTGTGGATCTGCTGTGCACTCATTGGTGTCTTGTTTTCACAGTCGTTTGTGCTCTTGAGTACTTGCATCAGAAGGGCATCATCCACAGGTCAGTAGGTTTGTCTTCAAGGTGTCCGTATCAATCATTTTATTTGTTCCATTTTCTTTTTTTTTCTATTGCGTGATGTTGAGTTATGTGTTATTGTGCTTTTGTTACAGAGATCTGAAGCCAGAGAATATTCTGCTCAGTGAGGAGATGCACATTCAAATAACAGACTTTGGCACAGCCAAACAACTGTCCTCTGACAGCAAACTGGGTAAAACACACATACACTGCATAACAATCGTCCTCTGACTGTAAACATTTATACAGAAGTATCCTCTAATGACAGTGCTTTTACTAAGTGATATTGTCATTCTGATGTCTCCCCTGCAGCAAGAGCAAACTCATTTGTTGGTACGGCTCAGTATGTCTCTCCTGAATTACTGACTGAGAAATCTGCCTGCAAGAGGTAAACACGGCTGATGAATATTTAATGGTGTGCAGTTGAAATGCTTTCATCAGTAATGAACCGGGCCTAATTCAGAGATGCTGTTTGTCACTGTGTTTATTTAGTGTTTTTTCTTCTGAATGCAGGTGACATTTTGTGCAATAACTAAGCAAGACCAAGAAAAGAGGTTTATTTGAGGGTTTGGCTAAAGATACTTATCCTAACTGTCTTATTTCTTGTTGCAGTTCGGATCTCTGGGCATTAGGCTGCATCATCTACCAGCTTGTTGCTGGTTTGCCGCCCTTCAGAGCTGGGTTGGTTACTTTTCAGATGTGTAAAACTGCATTTTGGTTTCTTAAAATTGCAATTTTATTGTGCTAGTAACACTTTTAATAAGATTCAATTTGTTTGTTAGTTAATACCTTATGAACTATCAATGACTAACAATAATTCAGGTAAATGGTAATTCAATCCTTTTGTTCATTATTTTCATGATCGTGTTTAATTCAAGTGTCATTTAATTAATATAACTTATATATGTAGTTAATAAATGCTTGTTTATTGTTGTTCATATTAGCTAATGCATTAATATTAACAAATTAAACCATGTTGTAAAGTGTTTTATTAGTGTGATAATATTTTGATAGTTGTCACTAATTGACTAGTTGGTTATTGGACGATCATAATCCATCCCTAACATCTACTTTGTCCATGTGATGAAGTGTAAGCCTCCAGTCACTAATCATTGTTTTCTTTTAATCCATCAGGAATGAGTATCTAATATTTCAGAAGATTATAAAACTTGAGTACGAGTTTCCTGAGAAATTTTTCCCCAAAGCTAAGGACCTTGTTGAACAACTTCTGGTCAGCCTTATTGAATTATAAATCTTTGTTGATAGTGTAGGTGTGGATCTGCTGTGCACTCATTGGTGTCTTGTTTTCACAGTCACTGGAGCAGTGCAAGCGGATTGGCTGTGAGGAGATGGGCGGCTACGGACCGCTGAAGTCCCACCCTTTCTTTGAGACGGTTGGCTGGGATGGTATCCATCTGCGAACTCCACCCAAACTAACGGCGTATCTGCCTGCCATGTCTGAGGATGATGAGGACTGCTATGGAAACGTGAGTCAACAGAAAACATGAAATGTAGATTGTTCCTCAGAAAATATGATAATATCTAATTTTCTCGTTTGTTTTCAGTATGATGATCTCCTGAGCCAGTTCAGTTGTATGCAGGTGGCACAGCCTGGCCATGCCCCTTTAGTTCCCTTCACAGGAGAGACAAGTCAACCTACATATAACCCCTCCCCTAGTGTGGATCAGTTTATACATATTCATGAGCTGGACAGTAATAGCATGGAGCTCGACCTACAATACAGCGAAGAGGAGAAACGCATCCTACTGGACAAGCAGAGTGCTGCAAACCCATGGTACGCAAATACAGTCTTTTTATGTGACTTTCTATCCTTATATACTCTCTGTAAGCATTCTGTCCTTTTGTTTTTAATAGGCACCAGTTTGTGGAGAATAACCTCATCTTAAAAATGGGTCCAGTGGACAAACGCAAAGTGAGTCACTGTTGGTAATCTGTTTGTTTGTAAGAGAATGTAATCAGTTAGATTTAGATCTAGTTCTTGAACAAATGACTCTTATGATTTGGTTCTTTTTAGTGAATCAAAACCATACAGGATATGACCAGTGTAAACCATCCAATTTGCAGATTCAATTCTCTCTCTCTTTTTTTTTCTATGAGTGAATCAGAACCGTGGGAGTATCGCATTTAATTTCCGAACAAATGATTGTTTTAGTGAGTTAAAACTATACAGCACCCTCAGTGTAGTCTGACCAATTCCTGAATGAATGACTGTTATGATTTGGTTCTTTTGAGTGAATCAAAACTACACCGCATGTCCAGTGTAGTCCATCTAATTCCTAAATGAATGACTCCTATGATTTGAGTTTTATTAGTAAAGCAGAACAACCAGTGTAGTCCAACCAGTTCCTAAATTAATGACTCTTTTGATTCAGTTCTTTGTAGTTAATCTAAGCTATGCCTCCAGTGTATTCCATTCAATTTCCAAGTGAATGACTTATGGTTTGATTCTTTTTAGTAAATTAAAAACATACAGCACGCATGCCCAGTGTAATCCTATTGAATAACTCTTGATTGAGTTACTGAGAACTCTTCTTTTTAGTGAATCAAATTCCCTAACGAATGACTCTAATGATTTGGTTCTTTTTAGTCAATCAAAACTGCACTCCGTTTAACTCCAGAATAAATTATTTATTTTAAGTGAATCAAAACTATACAGCAGGAAATAATGATGGAACAACTAGATCAAATTCAAAGCGCAATTTCAAAGTTGAAAGCTAATAAAGCTCCGGGCACAGATGGTTATCCGCCTGAATTTTATAAAACTTTCAGATCCCAAATAATACCCATTCTTGCTTAACTACTTTAATTATATACTAAAAGGTGGGAAAATCCCACAATCTTGGAAAGAATCAGTCATCTCAATCATCCCAAAGGAAGGAAAGGATGCGGATGATTGTAGCTCATATAGGCCGATATCAGTCTTAAATGTGGACTATAAATTATTTGCTTCTATCTTATCTAATAGATTGGAGGGCATTATTTCTGTGTTGGTGGATCTAGATCAAACTGGATTTATACAAAATAGACAGGCACAGGATAATTTAAAAGAAGATAAGAAGTTGGTATCGAAATTATATGGATATATAAAAAGCAGTAAAAATCATACGTGAAATTATGCATAACAAAAATGGGAGAAAGAATCAGACTCTCAAATAACAGAGGAAGACTGGAGAGATATCTGTGTTACACAGACAAATACAACGAACTCAAGATCCTGGCGGGCGTTTGGATGGAAGATTTTAATAAGATTTTTTATAACTCCCAAATTAACAGCAATACGTACAAGTGAACAGAGTCAGGGCCTTTGTTGGGGGCAATGTGGAACCCCAATGGCTAATCATTTCCATATTTTCTGGGCATGTAAAACAGTTTCAGACAGTTATAAATACCTATTAAAATACTTTTAGCAAGCAGTCGGAAAGCTATAACTCAGTTGCAGGTTGACCCTCCAACATGAGATCAGTGGATGGGAATTGTAAACTAAATATTCTGTATGGAGAGACTTACATTTACTCTTAGACATAATTTGGACAAATGTATTAAGTATTGGGATAAATGGATTGTGTACAAATACCATTGAGGATAAGTGTGATAAATTACTCCAAAGAGTGTATGGAAATGATATTGTCTTGACTTTGTAATACCCATGATGACCTTTTGTTCCTTGTTTTCAATAAAATGTTGAAATATTTTTACCATTTAAAATTGCTTTCTATTTTAATAGATTTTAAAATGTAATTTATTCCTGTGATCCTACATAGCTAAATTTTCAGCATCATTACTCCAGTCTTCAGTGTCACATGATCTTCAGAAATCATTCTAATATGCTGATATGCTGATTATCAATATTTAAAACCATTGAGTAATTTTTTTTTTCAGGATTCTTTGATGAATAGAAAGATCCAAAGATCAGCATTTATCTGAAATAAAAAGCTTTTGTAACATTATACACTATTCCATTCAGTATCATTTTTATTAGTTTTTTGGGAAAGAAATTAATACTTTTATTTACCAAGGATGCTTAAAATTGATCAAAAGTGATGATAAAGGCATTTATAATGTTACAAAAGATTTCTATTTCAGATAAATAGTGTTCATATCGATATCGGAATTATATCGTATGGACCGAAATTAAGAAATATATCGTGATATCAATTTTGGCCATATCGTCCAGCCCTACAGCAAACCAGTGTGGTCCTTTTAGTTTAGTAATTTGGTTCCTTTTAGTCAATTATGATCATCCTGAGTGGTTTTAGTGTTCTATTCAGTTCCTGAGTCTTATGAATTTATTTGTTTTAGTGAATCAAAACTATACAGAACAACCAATGTAGTTTCACCAGTTCCTGAAAGAATCACTTTTACAACTTGGTACTCTTTAGTAAATAAAAAAATATGGGACAAGAGTATTCTATTTCTATTTGAATTAAAACCACACCGCATGATCATAGTATTCCACCCAGTTCCCCAACAAATGACTCGTATGATTTGGATCTTTTTAGTGAATCAAATCACACAGCACGACCAGTGTAGTCGAATTCCCAACTCTTATGAACTGGCACTTTTCAGTGAATCGAATTCTGTTGGAACACTATTGATCAATCAGCATCCAGGACCAGAAATATCAGTTTTATCCGCTTACTTTAGTAAAAAACTTGATGTTTTTTGTGTTTCATAATGTTTCCTTTTGTGTACATGTCTAGGGTCTGTTTGCACGGCGGAGGCAGTTGCTACTGACTGAGGGTCCTCACTTGTACTATGTGGATCCGGTCAATAAAGTTCTGAAAGGGGAGATTCCTTGGTCACCTGAACTACGGCCTGAAGCGAAGAACTTTAAAACCTTCTTTGTTCACACGGTAACCGCAATCCCAATTATCTTCTCATACAACGTTTGCATGTTTTAAACCAGATATTTAACGACCACGCTTTGTTCCCTTAGCCAAACCGGACGTACTATCTAATGGACCCAAGCGGCAACGCCGACAAATGGTGCAAGAAAATCCAGGAAGTTTGGAGGAAGTTCTACCACAAACACCAGAGCCCCAGCCTATAGGACTACAGCGCTCCCCCTTTGGCCACACCTCCACAGCCCTCCAACCAATCACAGAACAGGGACACGCCCCTGTAGAGACATATCTCTCCAGCTATATATTGTCTTTCTGTCTCTTCATATATCAGTCCAGTCACTCCCAGGTACTTTCTCTGTTCGGATTCAGTTGCTTCGCGCACCGAGGGTGGAGTCTTTACAACCAAAAGCAGCAAGGCCGTAGTCAGCATGTCGTGCAGGCAAGCCATAGAAAACCACACGTTTAGACGTTTACGCAAGTCTTTCCATCGATTTCAAGCACATGTTCTGTTCTTTTCTCGCTCGACGCTCACACAAGCTCGGCTCTTTACTTTTTCAGATATCTAAATGGGAGTGTGTTGCTTTAGTCTGCGCTTAGAGTTAAGGCGGGTCCTTTTACCCTTATTGGCTGTGTGTGTGTGTGTGTGTGTGGGGCCCTTGTAAGCAATGTGTGTATTCTTGTTGTCGGCCTTTTGCGCTCGGCAAAACCTAGAACTGAAATAAAGCATGTAGGGTTTTAGGCCAACAAACACATCTGTTTTTCTCCATCTGTTTGAGCAGTTGTCTTTTTATTTTGTAAATATAGTATTTCTGTTATTTCGTTATTTTATTAATGGTTTTTCCCCTGATAGTCAAAAGAAAAATTATTTCTTGCATGAAGAAAAATGAAGCAATTTAATTTTTTTATAATATAATAATGTAATATTAAAACATTTTAAATAAATATACAAAATACATATATATATACACATACTTATTTATAGTTATATGTATTATTTACAAATAGGGAAATCAATTAGACCCACTTAAGATATGAATTTACCGCCCTCTATAGTAAACATACGGAATTTCACATTTGTTCCTGCAGCCTTCCAGACCAATATATATGGGCTTTGGGCATTTGCGAATCAAAGGCATCATATGATCAAGAAAAAAAGGCTGTTTTAGACAGGCTGCTCACGCGGGTTCAAATCCAGATATTCTTTTTGAAATCTGCGGTATTGATAAATCCGAATCTTTGTGTCGAATCGGTTCGTTCGGACGATTCGCTTCAACCTAGTCACAACCGCGTAAGAATACTTCGCGCTTTATTCTACGCGATAACTGCTATTTTTCACTATTAGGTTTCATAAATTACTTTGTTGATGTTTATTGTACTTGCATTACTGCTGACAGAAATATTATTCTTAACACAGCGTTCTTTTTTAAATATTATAAATTAACTTTATTTTAATCATCTTTATAATTGAATTTGTTATTTTCATTGTTATTAATTATACTGTTCCCGTCTAACAATTTTACTGCTAAACAATTTTTTTGTTACAGGTGAGTGATTCCCAAACACTGCTAAAAGTGCTTAAAAAGTATCGATTCAACAGAATGATTCGTTTTCGAATCCCTAGAAATTCGATCGCAAAACGCTACAGTGGGTCTAGATGTCGCAAATAACAACAGCCCGTGGCTTTTCAGTGTCTTGAGCCTAAAAACAAAAGTGAGGGGTGTTTCTCTGCGCCGTCTGCTGGTCACTGGAGAGGCGCGCGGTCACCGTTACGCATTTCAGCGGAGCACCGAGCGCAGGATGGCCGAGACTCACGGCGAGATCAGCGGCCACGTCTGCCGGCCACCGGCCCCGGTACAGACCTTTAACCACAGATCCTCTAAGTGGGTCCGTTTGAACGTCGGTGGCACGTATTTTCTGACCACCAGACAGACGCTCTGCCGGGATCCCAAATCGTTCCTGTTCCGTCTGTGCCAAACGGAGCCAGACCTCGATTCTGATAAGGTAACTACAGCTGGATTTATTTCATTTAGAGACCATTTCGCTAGTTCTGCTGTGGTGGATAACATAGCCTAATATGTTAGACCATTTATTTATTTATTTCATGTATAAGTAATTTATAAAGTATGGCTGGGGAAGTAGGTTAGAGAGTGCAGAAGTCTGTGAAACGAGACTCAAATACAGCCTCTGTAAAACCGGTTTCATTTTAAGTTCAAATAATATTATAATACTACTGACATTTTTTAGGCAACGTAAATTGTGAAAATAATATGTAATTTTATTTATACAAACCTATTGTTAGCCGATGTGAGATACTGTTATAATTCATATATGACCATTAATAGGAAAGTGCATCTACAGATCATCATTTCTAAACAATGTAAAGAAGCTGTGATGCAAACAAAAGCAAAGATGAAAGCTGTACATAAATAGTTTTTTTTTTTTAATACTAACAGACCATTTATTTTATTATTATTATTATTCACAAGACAAAAGATCTCTTTCTTCTCAATTTTGAGGAGTTTCTTTAAAATGGGTCATGGGTATTTGGCGTCATAAGTTCATAATCGCTTATATTGTTGTATAGAGTTATTTGTGTTGTTTCTATGGTAGCTTGGGGCTTGTCCAGATGGTTGTTTTCCTGTCGGATGGACACGAACAACGTCCGCTCTGCCCCTCTCCCAGTCCCAGAACAAGGTCTCTTCTGTTCTGCTCCGAGTGCTCATGGCTGGGAAGACGTGCGGTGGATGGTGGCACCTTGTTTGTCTGTGGCATCCTGGGGTGGCCTTGCGATGACGTCATCAGCACATCTGCCCCAGTTCTGCCTTGTAATCTGGACACAATCCCGCTTATGACACCTGAGCTGTGTCAGAGATCAGGGTGGAAAGGTTACGCTGCACGGGTCGGATCAGGCAAAGATCACTGGCAGAGGTTTCAAGTGAAGGCTTCTGATGTCTTAAATTGTTCCCAGAATCTGTTTTGAATCTGAATTTTGCTGCCAAAAAAACACTGCACTGTAAAGAAATTGCTAAATAACCTATAAATGTACATTATGTGCACTGAGAAAAATCTGGTGTAAAACAATTTTCACTCAGAAATTGCTAGTAAATTTCCCAATAAGTGACAAATTAATGCCCTAAATTAACTGTGAAATTTTCAAGTAGAAAAACTGAAATAGTATTTTCTCTGTTTTATTTTCAATTAAAAAAAAAAAACGTTTTTTACAATGTGGTTACAGCTAAATGAATGGGTAAAAAAATAGTAGTAGAAGTAATAGTATTATTTAATATGACAGACTTCAGTATGAATCAGCCTGACTACACCAGCTCCACAAAATTGCAGTTTTTCAGTCTAAAATCAAGTGACAACTTATGGTTGTAAATTCTTTGTTCTTTATCCAACCGCTTTGAATCGGAAAACTGATCAAATATATCAAACATTTTATTTAAAAATATTTTTAAAATTGAAAACTGAGTAGGAAACAGCATTATTGTGACATGTTGAATGGATGAAATACATATTTTGTAATAAAAAAATGAAATAATTGTCTGTAGTCTACATGATTATTAAATATGGCCTATTATTTGAATTTACATTAAAGCTTAAGTGCTATTCAAATGTTATAAACCGGTTTAAAAAACACTTTAAATCAGAAAACTGATCAAATACATCAAAAACGTTTAAATAATTAAAACTGAGAAGAAATAAAGATGATGTAATATAAAATAACTTCCTAAACTTTATGAAATCTTACTGCCTAATAATAGAATTGATCATTTTTTGTTAAAATACTTTATCTTAGAAATTATCTCATAATAATATCCAGAGATAATTATGAATTTAATATTTGTATTTTGATTCTTTTGTAAAAGTAAAAGTATGCACCGACCAGACCAGATTATTGTCTCCACCAATGGCGTTGGCTTGGGGGCGGGGCCACATGTTAGTTCAACCAATGCCAGATGTTTGGGAAACTTGTTTGAAACAGTAATTATTTTTGTGTTATATTGTTTGGATTTAGAAGGCGACACACCTTACACACTTCCTCTTTAAACCATGTCATATAATGATTAGTTAAAGTGCACATTTGTGATATCACTTTACTGTAACAAAAATAAAAATCATTCTGTCATTTGCACAGCGCATGTCACATTGTTTCGGGCTCGCGCAGCTCCGGCTGTCTCTCCTCCTCTCATCTCTCAAATCTCAGGCGGTAATCTCAAAATAACCCTAATCCAGAATAATCCTGCTCTCTAGGGGCTTTAACCCTGTAAAGAGCAGGAGTCTCTAAGGCTCTGGGAAATCACTCCACGCCGTTTGTGCCCCAGTTTTGATAAAAGGGTGATTTCAGACTCACACGCTGTTCCAGGTTTGGTTTGAATCGTCCTGGTTGAAGGCTGTGCGTTTATTTTTTATGACTGTGGCCTGCGTGCCATTACAGACAGATGCCGAGTCCCACAAGTGCACTTACACGCGCACAACGCATTAATGTTTAAACTCACTTTCCTCTAATGCTTCTCTTCACTCGCACGCTATACTGAAATAAAAACACGCTGTTTTTGGAATAATAGCGAGAACTTGATTTTCACTTATATGGGCCATTCTACAAAATTGGGGGAAAAAAAGTATTTTTCCTCCCCAAAAATTGTATGTCTGCAAATTGTATGATATCCAAGGTACACATTTCTAATTGTGCAGTTAATTCTCATATTGTATTTTCAGAATGTTTTGGAATATTTGTCCTCAAATTTGTCACTACCGAAACACAGTAATAATAATTTCATTAGAAGGGTTATATTGACCTATTAAGATTTTGCTTGCATCTACATTGTAAATATATAATTTTTGCTATTTTATAAAAAAATTTCCAGAGGTAAATCAATAAAAATTACATTTTTAACAATATTTCAAATGTAATTTATGAGATTTGTTGTATTTTAAATTTCATTTTTCTTTGTAAAAGGTAAAAAGTTGATCATACCGATTTCAAAGTTAAGGATTCATTAGTCTGAATATACATTGAACCAAAAACTATCATAACATCTTAGCTAATAATTCAGTTTTGACAAAACATCCCATGTTTCGGTAGTGACTGCACAATTTCGGTAGTGACAGTAATGCTTTGATCACATTACAGAATTTTAACTCACATACTAAAACACTACTAAAACATAATAAAATACAAAAAAATTGCATAACTGTACTAAAATTTTATTTCCCCCAAATATGAGGATTATGTGTTCCCTTTTGTCACTACCGAAACAATGATGACGTTTCAATTGTGACTGTTTCAGTAGTGCCAATTTAATGGGATAATACCACAGACTGTATAAAAACATGGACGTGGTGACCGTGACGTCACCCGTAGGTTTCTGAAGAGTGTTTTTGAAGCTCAAAGTGGGCGGAGCCGGCCGTCGCCATCTTGGCAGCGCGTCACCGCGAGTCACTCCCGGATAATTGAAAATGGGCAAAGAGGCGGGAGCTGTTTGCTGAAATCACGCCCACCTAGCTCGCCGCCGGTGACAGCAGCGGCAATCCACCTGTCACTCAAGTGGCCACGCCCTTAATTATGCAGAACTTTAAGGCTTAATATAATTTAAACGGATGAGTTATAAAAAAATTCACCCCCCTCACAGTTGCCATGACGGGCAAAATTAGCTATATAAACCAAAATCATTTTTTGAACCAAGCTGTAAACATGTTTTTTTCTGCTGTAAAGTTGGGCATTTTAACACGGGGAGTCTATGGAATTGACTCCCTTTTGCAGCCAGCCTCTAGTGGCCAGTCGATGAATTACAGTTTAAGTCACTTCCGTGTTGGCTTCACGAGAGAGCGGGAGGTTGCCGCTTGTATACTACAAAAAAAAACCTACCGAAACTCTACCAATTATTTCAGTAGTGACTGAACCTAGCTCAAAGATGCTAATCAGCACATGGTTAGCTAGCACAGTTCTGAACAGTTGTACAATTATAAAATCTAAATGTTAGGGAATAACTCCCAAAAGGTGTGCTTAATTGCAGAAAAAAGTTCGGTAGTGACGTTCCTTAAAGTTACACATAGATTTTCAGACTTTTGAAAACAGTTTACCTCAAAATGAAGAGACCTATCTATTGACACATTGTAGCTATGAGAGAGGGGGACACAGGAATATATATTTCCAGATCATAATTGTAGCGGTGTAGTAAAAATCAGTTTCGGCCAATGGTCTAAAACATACACTGTTTTGGTAGTGACCTGAAAAATGCGGAACAGTTTTTTACACAAATTTTCATAATGTACAAAGAAAATATCATATATATATATATATATATATATATTTGAATATTTAAATGCTTTATGAATGTTTTTTGATTGTGGGACAGCAGTTTGGACCAAGTCTGTAGAATGGCCCATATGTATATATAAAACGTTTTCTTTCTCTGTCTGTTGATTTCTACTGTAGGATGAGTCCGGGGCGTATTTGATTGATAGGGATCCCATGTATTTCGGGCCTGTGCTGAATTACCTGAGACATGGGAAGCTGGTCCTCGACAAGAACCTGACGGAGGAGGGTACGGCACACATCCACAGTCAAACTGACACGACAGACTGTGATTGCTGCTGTGTAGCTTTCATTCTGTTTGCGTGTGTGTGTGTGTGTGTGCGTGTGTGTGTGTCTCAGGAGCTCTTGAAGAGGCCGAGTTTTACAACATCACATCATTAATAAAACTCATCAAAGAAAAGATCAGTGAAAGAGAAGCCAAGACCACACACGTAAGGAAGCAGGAATACACAATTCACTCTGACACTTACACTTACACTGAAATCCTTTAAGATTTATTTTTAGATCCTTTTGTCAAAACAGACTTTAAACTGAGATATGCTACTGTAGGCGATTCACTGTGTTATTTTTAGTATCATTTTTATACTTATTTTAGTCTAGTTTTCAGTGATTTTATTAAGTGCTTTTGACATTAATTTTTTTGTAGGAATGTTGCTATTTATGTTTAATTTATTTGTACTTTTTTAAGTTCAGTTTTAGTATTTATTTCCATTTATCAATTTTAGTGCTTCAACCTAAACTTATTTCAGGTCATTGCCAACATTTCTACATTTTTATCTAACATTTTCTCCATCTGATATTTATATTTTATTTTATTTCAGTGAACAAAAATGTTTTTAATAGTTTTAGTTAATGATTAAAACCCAGGTGAATCATAAACTACATTACACATAAAATTACATTTAACTCAAAATATTCAATATACAAAGGTCTTGGATAATATTTAAGGGGGTCATATGATGCTCTGTCTGTCTTTCCGTCTATCCATCTATCTGTCTGTCTGTCTCTCAATCTATCTATCTTTCTCTGTCTATCTGTCTGTCTGTCTGTCTATCTATCAATCTATCTATCTTTGTCTGTCTGTCTGTCTGTCTCTGTCTGTCTGTCTATCATCTAACTGTCTGTCTTTCCGTCTATCCATCTATCTGTCTGTCTGTGTCTATCTATCTATCTATATCTGTCTGTCTGTGTCTATCTATCTATCTATCTATATCTGTCTGTCTCTGTCTATCTGTCTGTCTGTCTGTCTGTCTATCATCTATCTGTCTGTCTGTCTTTCCGTCTATCCATCTATCTGTCTGTCTATCTATCTATCTGTCTGTCTATCTGTCTGTCTGTCTGTTTGTCTGTCTATCTATCTGTCTATCTATCTATCTATCTATCTATCTATCTATCTATCTATCTATCTATCTATCTATCTATCTATCTATCTATCTATCTATCTATCTATCTATCTATCTATCTATCTATCTATCTATCTATCTATCTATCTATCTATCTATCTATCTATCTATCTATCTATCTATATCTGTCTGTCTCTGTCTATCTGTCTGTCTGTCTGTTTGTCTGTCTATCTATCTGTCTATCTGTCTATCTATCTATCTATATATATCTGTCTGTCATTCATCCATCTATCTATCTATCTATCTATCTATCTATCTATCTATCTATCTATCTATCTATCTATCTATCTATCTGTCTGTCTATCTAATCTAGATATATTGTTCAAAATGAAGATGAAAATGATTGACACTTTGTGGTTGTCAAAAGTCCGTTAAACTTATCTATAGTTAATGTGATGAGCTACAACTATGGAAATAAAGTTTCATTCAGGCATAAACAGGCAGAATGCAAATCCACATGTGCCTTCAGGCACACATATACAATAAATTAAATTAAATGTTCTTTATTTACATGTAGCGTGACAGATGCTTTACATATTTCACCATCCTTGTCTCTGTTTTCAGTCGCCGGTCAAGCATGTTTACAGAGTGTTACAGTGTCAAGAGGAAGAACTTACTCAGATGGTCTCGACCATGTCAGACGGATGGAAGTTTGAGCAGGTAAATCGAACCCGGCTTTAGTTCATCTGATCATTCCAGCTCCACAACAATCAGAATCGCTCCCGCCGATTCAGCTGACCTGCGGTGTGTGATGCAGGCCCTGCCTTACGCTCTGATTGGTTGTTGCAGCTTGTCAGTGTAGGTTATGGGCGGGCCCAGAAGTCAGAGTTTTTCCTGATTGTGTCTCGAGAGGTGAAGGGGGAGGAGTCAAGCCAAACTCACCCCGCCCACAGTGGAGAGGTGTGTCCCAACGATCCCCCGTCCTCCCACTAACCACTGCATGCTGATTTTCATTGCAATGGTCACAGTGAATGCTGTCGCCTGCGTGGATGTTGGTGATTCACACATGTTCTGCATGTTTATAATTGTGTTCACATGTTTTTAACAAGGGCAGAGTCTTTGCATTCAATTGCATTCCCGAGCATGTTTTTTTATGTGCACCCTGTTGTATTGTTTTTAAAGGGATTGTTCACCTAAAATTACCATTTCAAAACCCTTTATGTACTTCATTGTTAAGATATTTTGCACAATTTTCACATGGTTCCTGTGCAATGAAAGTGAATGGCAACCAATACAGTCAAGCTCCAAAATGAGGAAAAAAAGTAGAAAAAAGTGTGAAATCGCAATTAAATTAGAATCACAAATAGCTCTACAATCACATTCTTGTTAATATTAAAAATATGCCAAATGTCATGTTTCCATGACCAGTTGTCACTGAAGTCAAACCTGAGTTAAGGCAGGGGAAATGTTTCCAGTGATGCACAATCATTAGCATTTTAAGGTGGACTGTCGCTTTAAAGGAATAGTTCACCCCAAAATGAAAATGTACTAAACATGTACACTGGTCATCCAAGAAGTAAATGAGTTTGTTTATTCATCAGAACAGATTTGGAGAAATGTAGCATTTCATCACTTGCTCACTAATGGATGCTCTGCAGTGAATGGGTGCCGTCAGAATGAGAGTCCAAACAGCTGATAAAAACATCACAATAATCCACTCCACTACAGTCCATCAATTATTGTGAAGCAGAAAGCTGCATGTCTGTAAGAAACAAATTCAAGACACTTTGAACTTTGAACTTTGACTTGAACTTTTTCTGGCTAAATAAAGGAGTCCATAAGCTTCCTCCAGTGAAAAAGGCCATCCCCTGTTATTCTCTCACATCAAAATCCACCCACATATTGTTTAGACTGTTTTGGACTGTTTTCCCTTGTAAATGGTGCTTGCATATTTCTCTCCTGATTCAGACGAGATTACCTTTTCACCGGAGAAAGCAATACAATAAATGTATAGAAGATTCATATTTTAGTTAGAAGCAACTGTCTAAACGTAATGATAGATTAGTTTCAGACAAACATGCAGCTTTTCGTTTCACAAGACTGGTAGACTGGAGTCATGTGGATTACTTGTGGATGATTGTGATGTTTTTATCAGCTGGCTGGACTCTCATTCTGACGGCACCCATTCACTGCAGAGCATCCATTGTTGTGTGAAATGACAAATTTCTCCAAATCTGTTCTGATGAGGAAACAAACTCATCTACGTCTTGGATGGATTGAGGGTAAGTAAGCATTCAGTAAATTTTCATTTTTGGGTGAACTATTCCTTTAACCATCTATAGTCACTCACTGAGAACAGTTGTTAAACTCTATCTGTTTCTCTCCATTTTCTCTCTCATTCATGTTTTGTGTAGTTGGTCAATATCGGATCCTCCTATAACTATGGTAATGAAGATCAGGCAGAGTTCTTGTGTGTTGTTTCTAAGGAACTGCACAACCAATCATACAGCAGCTACACTCAACCCAGTGAGAAAGCCAAGGTAAGCGGCATGTGTGTGTACTAGCATACTACATACTACCGTTCAAAATTCTGGGCGTCAGTAAAATGTTTGCTAAAGAAATTAATACTTTTATTTAGCAAAGTCATGTTAAATTGATCAAAAGTGACAGTAAAATACATTCATAATGTTACTATTTTTTTCTATTTCCAATAAATTCTGTTCTTTTGAAGTTTCCATTTATCAAAGAATATTTTTTAAAAAGTGTATCACAGTTTCCATAAAAATATGAAGCAGCACAACTGTTTTCAACATTGACAATAATCAGAAATGTTTCTTGAGCAGCAAATCAGCATATTAGAATGATTTCTGAAGGATCATGTGACACTGAAGACTGGAGGAATGATGCTGAAAATTCAGCTTTGCATCACAGAAATAAATTACATTTCACAACATATTCAAATAGAAAACAGTCATTTTAAATTGTAATACTATTTCACAATATTACTGAATTGAGTGTATTTTTGATCAAATAAATGCAGCTTTGGCGAGCAGAAGACCCATTTAAAAGTCTGTAGTGTACATACTAGAATTCTTCAGCAGTAGTATGCATAGTATGTTATTCAAAATATGGCTGCTGTGTTTTAGGGTATTGGTGACAGTAGATTAGTGCAGATTAGTAATATTTTGTGGTATTATGTAAATCCTCTGCTGTTTTCCCTCAGATTCTACAGGAACGTGGTTCTAGAATATGATCATCTAGAGCTCCCGCGTTTTGAGACATATCAGCTCTTTCTAGAACATTCCATGAGCTTGTTCACTGGACACCTGACGCACGTGAAGAGCATGTCCACTGCAATCCAGTCTGTATGGTGCTTGTTTGTTTTGATCTTCATGGATTCAGAGACAGGATCTGGAGAGCTGGACCAATGTCAATCTCAGGGAACAAAAGGAAATGGACAGGTCACTCTGAATCACTGACCACCTTTTTGGTTTGTCTCCCTTTTGCTTTAATCAATAACATGAACAAAACCTGATGGCCATGTACTCCTGCATGATTTGCAATGTTTCAAAGAGCGTCTTGAGCTTCAATGGAAGCAGGAAAATCTGAACATCTGTACAAAGAGTCACATGATCAAGGTCATTTGATTAGACACAGATATAGTACGGTCTTTATTTAACACTGCTTCAAAAGAAAAACATATTTGAACTCTTTTTGTAAAGGTTTTTAAAAAAATCCCTTTTTTGTGGTCTCAGACTTTTGCACCCTACTGTCCAAATGATTTATGATTTATATATGCAACAAAAGTGATTTTGAAAATCAGTAAAAAAAAATTGGCAATAGCGCCATGTTTGAGCACACATTTAAATGCAAGATTTTAGTGCTGAGAAATATTTCTTGGTGTTGAGATTTTAGCTACACTACCATGCAAAAGTCTGGGGTTGGTAAGATTTTTAAATATTTTTGTGTAAGTCTCTGCATTCATTTGATCAAAAATGCAGTAAAAGCAGTAATATGGTGAAATTGTATTACAATTAACTCGCATGATCCTTCAGAAACCATTCTAATATGCTGATTTGCTCAGTTTGATAAATAGAAAGTTTAAAACAGCATTTAATTGAGATAGGAATATTTTATAACATTAGAAATGTCTTTACTGTTGCTTTTGATCAATTTAATGTGTCCTTGCTGAATACAAATATTTTCTTGAAAAAAAAAAAATCTTACTGAGCCCAAACTTTTGAATGATTTTTTACTCCTTTTAATGTGAAAATTCTCACTTTTGCACTACTGCTATTATTATTATTATCCAGCCAATATTTCAGAGGTATCGGTGAACTGCTGCATGTGTTAGTGTATATTATTACTGAATACTTAAAGGAAAGGAGCGTTTCTGGTGAATCCTGTCCTGATCTTGCACATTTTGGTATTTACTATATATCCTATAAGGTAGCAGCGTATGCATTTGTATAACTTTTGAAAATGCTAACATGTAAACCTGTTCTGCAAAATCCCGTCACTGTAAAATCTAAGTAGTTGAATGTAGCGGCACACATCCACACACTTTTAAAATATATAAGCAATTTCAACAAATAGTCACATGTCTGTGTGCTTTTTACTGCCATTTTGAAAAAGAAAAGAAAAATAAAGCTATATATTAAAAATACTTTTTAATTGTAATAAAATAAACTTTCAAATTTGAATTAGCAATAATGTTGCTTTAGCAACTAACTGAACATAAGCTGAAGCACTAAAATTACTCAAACTAAAACGGAAATAAAAATAAAGCTAAATAGAAATATTAACAACTAATAAAAAGGACAAGTATTTAGCAAAATGATTAAAACTGAAATTAACTAAAAATAAAAGCTAATTCAAAATATTAACAAATAGTATAATAGCATATAAATAATACTGAAATAACACTGATTGGAAATTCATGAGGCCAATTTATTTACAGACATTAGGCGTTTTCTCTCATTTCATTTAAAATATTCTAGAATTAATCAAGCTCACCCAATTCTACATTCACAGCTCCACCGTGTGGTGATAAAAAAATCAGTTTACAAAAGTCAATAAATACATACAAATGTTGTAACCAAACAGTTGCTGGTCCCTATTGATTCCATAGTATGGGAAAAAATAATAACATAGAAGTCAATAGGAACTAAGGTATATTTTTATAACTGGAAAGCTGTATAAACGAAACCATGAAAATTAGGCCTCAGTTATGATTTACACTGTATGTTCACTTCAGCAAACTCTATGAAGAAAGCAATCAAAGCACAAACCTGCACCTGTCTCCGAGCGGTACAAAGATATTTCTACAGAAAATTCATACACATCTGGAACAACTTAGAGTTTTTATTTTTGGGTGAACTATCCCTTTAATATTAGCAGAAAACTTCATTTGACTCTCTTTGAAAGCTCAAGGACTCTAATTATATTCTCCATTTTATTCATGTGGCTTTTTGAACATCCAGGACAAAACAACTACGTTATTAAGTTTTTTTTATTTTTTATATATATATATATATATTTATGGTTAGTAAACCTTCCGATTTCTTTGAAACTGTATAGAGTTAATATAATATATTCGGCATTTTATTTATTAATTTATAAATTTGCCCTGATAGATAGATAGATAGATAGATAGATATAATATATTCGGCATTTTATTTATTAATTTATAAATTTGCCCTGATAGATAGATAGATAGATAGATAGATAGATAGATAGATAGATAGATAGATAGATAGATAGATGAATGGATTAATTTTTTTTATTCTGGTACTGTACCTTTAAATGTTAGCCGTCTAATGGAATGCCTGCTCTAAATTGTTTCCACCGGGGTAAAAATACACCGTCTAATTTTCCTAAACACATGGCGCCTGTTTGTCAACGCTAAAATATTTAAACAATTCTATCTGTTGAACGGACAGCATTCGCGTTATCTCGACCGACACAGAATTGTCCTGCAGGCGATCTGCGCGTCGTGCCGCGGGTCCTGATTAGACTGCTTCAGAACCGAGTGTGTTTTCGCGAGGGAAACTTCACAGCTTTGGTTCCGAGTCAAACACGATTCGAATACGCGGGCCCAGAAGTCGAATAACACTGGGATTCACAAGGTAAGGCGGTTCTGTCGGCACGGTCGATGTATTATTGTGTTTTTGCTGGCCGGTAGACGCTCGCGTCGGTTTTGTTTGGCATGGTTGCTGTGTGAACGCCAGCTCGCGAGTTTCTTTGTCCCGCGCGCTCATGAACAGCGTTCCAGCGCTCGACTCCATGTTTATTGACATTTTATGAAGTCCTAATATTAAGTCACAACCTTCCTTGATTATGGAGTCATAACGTGGAGTTAAAATTCCATTATGTCATAGTGTAGGACGAACTTCTATTATGATGCCATTATGAGGACTGAGATGTGGCTCCATAATCAAGCTTGCAAACTTAATATTATGACATAATCTATCATACAATATAATCTGTAGTTAACAACCTTTATTATATCGTCGTAATGGGAAGTTAACATCCTCAGTTTTGATTGTGGTGTAATGAAAATGTGCTTAAGTGCATAGTGTGACTTCAAATCTGCATTATTATGTCATACTGTGGATTTCATAACATTTAAGAAATCTTGATTATGGCATTCAGAAGAGACATTTGCACATTAGTTTTATGATTGCCCAATATCCAAGCAATTTTGGTCTGACCTTGGCTCCTATATATTCGATTCTGCCAATGCTACTTGTTCTTTCAGTCTAAAAGACATACTTTTTTATTATATTGATGATAAAAATAGACCCCTAGAGTATATTGTTAACTTCTTTATTTTATATGGCAAATTCTTTATTCATGAACAAAAGTTTGCAAATAATATTCCATCCTATCCCCATTTTAAAACTGAATTAATATCACTTCTTAAATCTCTTAGTTATATAAATAACAAAAGATCCCAAAGATTGATCAAATATTAGGAAGAAATGTTTAAAGAAAAGACATGTATTTAAAAGCTTTCCCTGTATATGAATGTTTGTATGTTATTGTTTTCAATAGTGGTAAGGCATGCATTCTTGTGTCTCCTTGTCTTGTCATCTTTGGTTTTTCATTGTTTTTTTTTTTGTATAATATTTTTGTTTTCTATCTCTTTGTTTTATTATATGTATTTGTATGTAATTCCTTGACAATGTTCTTATGCTATTGAGTATTAATTTAAAAAAAAAAGAATTCTTGATTGTGATAAACCAAATAAAGTATATAAATCAAGTTAACTTTATTTTTTTCCCAGAAATGCTAGTTGTTGTTATTGCATTGGACTAAAACAGCCTGGCTTTTCTCACAACATCTCTATTGTTATTTTACTTACTTTATTTACTTTTTCTTTTTTGGGAATACTAATCCATAATTAGTTACTCCTGTTGTGTTCTCAGTCAAAAATGAACAGCCTACAAAAAAGTTTACCCTGAAGCTACCATATTAGAATGATTCATTTATTAACTCATGATGAGCTATAACGATGTAGTTTACGTGATTTTATATTCACCAAAATGTGTGTGAAGTTTTATTACTGATAAAAAAAAATCTTTGAATATTAATTTTGCCTGGCTGCTAAAAATTGCTTTGGCATGCAAAAAAAAACAAAACACAATTAGTTTAAAAATCCTTAGAACTTTTCTCAAGTGCATCCGTCACAGGCAGGTTTATATGATGGGTACTATACATATTCTAAATATTAAATATTCCATAAATGATCTACAAATATTCCATAATATAAATCTTTTATAAGAACTACAAATATTCTAGTTTCTAAGTATATTGCACTTGCTTTCTCGTTTATTTATTTAGCATATACTCCGATAAATGTGCATTTCTCCATAGGTTCAGTGGTCATGTCTGGCATTGCTCTGAGTCGACTTGCGCAAGAGCGCAAAGCATGGCGGAAAGACCATCCATTCGTGAGTAACCCTTATATTCTTTTATTAAATTGACTTGCAGTCCACACAACAATCAGTGTAATCCCATGCACATCTGTTCACTTCTGGATATATTCTACAAAATATACCTTTGTTTTATTATGAACCCTGTAACACATGAGCATTGTATCCTCTGGTGCTCACTTAGTGCTTTTGTCTCGGCCAAATGTCCCCAGGGCTTTGTTGCTGTGCCGACGAAAAACCCTGATGGTACCATGAATCTTATGAACTGGGAATGTGCTATTCCAGGAAAGAAGGGGGTAAGACGGTTCCTTTTAGCTTTAATTCGATTAATCCGCTGTAGCATCATGTGAGATCTCTCTCCATCTCTCTCTAGACTCCATGGGAAGGAGGTCTGTTTAAGTTAAGGATGCTGTTTAAAGATGACTACCCCTCATCACCCCCAAAATGTGAGTTTTGCACAAACATATCCAGTCCTTGCTGCCTGGATCACACCTCACGAATGCTTGCTTCTCTTCCGAAGGTAAATTTGAGCCTCCACTGTTCCATCCGAATGTGTATCCTTCAGGAACAGTGTGTCTTTCCATCCTAGAAGAGGATAAAGACTGGAGACCTGCCATTACCATTAAACAGGTCCATTGAAAGTCTAGTCGGTTCTATTCTAGTGCTTTGTGTTCTACAGTGCTCTTTTATAAAAGCTGATCTTGCTGTTTTTCTTCCTTCAGATCCTGTTGGGGATTCAGGAGCTGCTAAATGAACCGAACATACAGGATCCGGCTCAGGCAGAGGCGTACACTATATACTGGTATGATAAGCTCAAGCTAAGAGTTATAGAACATAAGTGTTGCGTAGTTCCAAATTTGAGATTTCCAATTGACCACTTGTGAGGTTCTACTTTAAGATAAAATAGAACCTCACAAGTGGTCAATTTGAAATGCTTCTCAAAGAAATAGCACTCATAATGTCAGCCGTATGAGAAACACACACAAGAAAGTGCAGGTTAGCATGTTGCTAAGGTAACAATATGGTAAGCACAAGGATGCACATAAAAATGTTGGGATTCCATAACAAAAAAATAGAATATTAAACCCCATTTCCACCACTTGAGTTAATATGAAAAATATTATATTAGTTAAATATCATAATTTCTGCTTTTTTGTCTACTTTGTGTCGAACGTAGAATTTAGCAGTCATCTTGAGATTAAAAAGTCAAAATTATGCAACAGTCAAATTTGATAAAAGGTCATTAAGGTTTTTTTTTCCCTCTTTTGTTTATAATTACCTTGTCATAATTATGCTATTTAATTTAATTTAGACTTTTTATGTCTTAATTACAACTGTCACATTTGACTTTTTTTATTTTTTTTTTTAAGATTTATTTTTTGCGTTTTATGCCTTTTATTTAGATAGGACAGCAGGTCGACAGGAAGTGAAGTTGGTGAGAGAGAGAGGGGGGTGGGATCGGGAAAGGTCCACGAGCCGGGACTCGAACTCGGGACGCCCGAAGTGCAAAGGCGCTGCCCACGAGGCCATCGGCGCCGACCACATTTGACTTTTTAATCATAATCTTTACTTTTTATATTGTAATTTTGACTATTACTTTTGACTTTATCTCAAAATTATGGATTAGTATGTCAAAATTTGGTCTTTTTATATAACATTGTTTTATCTCAATTATGAACCTTTATCATACATATCATACATACATATCAACATTTAAAATTGACTCTCAATTTTGACTTATAATTGTTTTTATCTGAGTTTTTATCTTAATTGTGACTCATAGATTAGTATGTCATCATAATTGTCTTTTTATATAATTGAGTTTTATCTGAATTATGAATCTTTATCATAATCAACTAAATTTTTACTTGAATCATAATTTTGAGTTTTTAATCTAAATTATGACTTGATGTCATAATTGTGGATTAGTATCTAATAATTTTGGCCTTTTTTTCTTTTTATCTCATAATTATGACTCATAATCGACTGTCGATTTTAATGTCATAATTAGGACTTTCAATTATTGACTTTGGGAGATGGGATACTAAGTAATAATTATTATATAAAAAGACAAAATGATGATATACTTTTATCTCAAAATTTAGATCTATGACGTAATTGATTTACTAAAGCATATTTTTTTTAAATGTGGAGGAAATGAACTTGCATCTTTTTATTAATAGAACTATTTTTTTATTAATACTTGAGTATTAACACGCATACCATTGCAGTGCATTCTGGGATTTGCCTAATACACAAAGGATGAGTGCAGATCTGTCTTAGATTTGTAAGGAAGCATTATTTTGCAGCCTAGTGTTTGGAACATCCTTCACTTTGAAAGCACACCTATGACACCTTATAATGTTCCCTAGGTAGGCAGCTCACTACTTTCATGACACTGAATGTGAGATATTTCTTGTATTGATCGCTCTGTCTGTTTGCGTTTACAGTCAGAATAGAGTGGAGTACGAGAAGAGAGTTCGTGCACAGGCCAAAAAATTCTCCCCGTCGTAAGCGAGACGGAGGGATGGACGAATGGAGAGAGGGAATATGTGAATACTCATGCTATCCTCTCATCGGGACTAAAAGGACTTAAAAACATGACGTTTGTGCCATGGACCCCGACCCCTTCCCCTCCACCACAAAACATTACACTCTTCCACACTCCTCTTCCCTTTTAATTTCATTTGCTCTCCGTTCCCTTTAGAACGCAGTCACTGATTCAGTATCCACAGATCTTTTTGCGTTTCAAACTGGCTCGTACGAAATCACATTCACAACTTCAGATCAAAGTCTTCGATCAAAAGCGGACTGTTGGGATTTTAGCTCTTTATTCATTTGGCGTGTCTGTCTGCGTTCGCTTGTATACACTCGTCATTTTATTATGTTCGTGAGGCTTTGTTTGCCCTTGAGTGAGTGAGTGAGCGAGTGCGTGTGTCCCGCGTGGCTCTGGTTTAGGTTGGTTTATTACGTTACGTGTGTGGGATTGTGCCTCATGGTGAAGTTTCACCCCAGAATGTTGATCTAGGACCAGTTTCTTCTCCATTGGACGTGTTTGTATTTGACCAGCCGCGTGGTCTTAGATCTGTCTAGGATTGTCTAATGCTGATTCGTCGAATAAAGTCCAGAATAAATGCTCACGTGAGCAGCAGAACCAGAGTCCAATTCTCTTAAACATGCTGTACGTGGGTTCTTGTTTGTTTGATGGGAACATGTCCTGCGTTCACACTGATTGTGTCTGTATGTTTAATAAAACTCTTTCTACAAAATGCGTTTGCAGACTGTGTGGATTGTGCCTCATGGTGAAGTTTCACCCCAGAATGTTGATCTAGGACCAGTTTCTTCTCCATTGGACGTGTTTGTATTTGACCAGCCGCGTGGTCTTAGATCTGTCTAGGATTGTCTAATGCTGATTCGTCGAATAAAGTCCAGAATAAATGCTCACGTGAGCAGCAGAACCAGAGTCCAATTCTCTTAAACATGCTGTACGTGGGTTCTTGTTTGTTTGATGGGAACATGTCCTGCGTTCACACTGATTGTGTCTGTATGTTTAATAAAACTGTTTCTACAAAATGCGTTTGCAGACTGTGTGTGTGTGTGTGTGTACCCTGATCAGATGTGTTTCTTATATATCGGATGCATTGTTTAAAAACAGCTTGATGGAGGGGTGTTTAAACTTGGCACAGCGACTTAATGCTCATGACTCGCTAAAAACAGAAAAAGGGTGAGATGTGACGGCCAAAGTCATCCATGTTAACTGAGTTGATATATCAGAAATCATACATATGGCATTTTTATTTATATAGCTTTAATGAACATTTAAACATTCATATTTACAAAAAACTATAGCATTGAACTGAAAGCATTGTAGAACAGCTTTAAATATAATTTAAAAAAGTACAGAATAAAATATGCTTAGTACAAAAATAAAAAAATTTAAACTTTGCAGACAAGTTTGTACTTTGTTTACTTTTTTTTTTTTTTTTTTGCCTTAAAATGCCTCAGTTTTGTCTTCAAATGTCTGATTATATACTGTGTTTACTTGATTGTAACACAAATTACATATGATTCAGCTATTTAGCAGGATTTGCTTATTAAAGCAAAAAGCAGGTAAGCATGTGTGGATACATTTATTTTTATGCTTTTGTGCAAAGAGCAAAAGCACATGTAGTATATAAGCACATAACGTAATACGTAAAAATGAAAATACATTCCATATTGTTCAAATTTAGCCTTGTTTCCAAACTTGAGCCACATGTACACTACCGCTCAAAAAGGGGTTGGTAAGATTTTATATGTTTTTGAGACTTATGCTCACCAAGGCTTCATTTAATGTTGTGAGATATTATTACAAATTAAAATAACTTTTCTATTTTAATATATTTTAAAATGTAATTTATTCCTGTGATGCAAAGCTGAATTTTCAGCATCATTCCTCCAGTCTTCAGTGTCACATGATCTTCAGAAATCATTCTAATATGCTGATTTGCTGCTCAAGAAACATTTCTTACTTTTATCAAAGCTGAAAACAGTTGTGCAGCTTCATATTTTTTTCAGACTTCTTTATTGACTAGGTGGTTTATTTGAAATATTTTAACATAAATGCTTGTAATGTCACTTCTGATTAATGTTAGTGTCCTTGCTGAATAAAGCAAATTTCTTTCAAAAATCTTATTGACCCCAAACTTTTGAACAGTAGCTTGCATGCACATGTTAGACAGCATAAGTGTGTGAATTGGAGAGTGTGCAGTAGTCCTCACTGCATGTGATGCTTTCTCTCTCGGTGATAAAATCGCGAATCCAGCAGCCTGAGTCGACGTCTGAACCCACAGGAGACTGCGGCATGCTGGGAGACTCATGCTCGTTGATCTCTCCCATATTCTCATAGTTTAAGCTGGTGGGCTGAGGGGGCGTGTCTGTGCTCTCTGTCAGAATGTCAATCTGGAGAGACTCCTCCCCCTGCATTATATCTCTCATTTTACCTGACAGCATTGAACGGATCTGAAAATACAAACACAATCAGACTATTAACAGTCATGCATTAGTAGAATGATAGTTTGTTTCGGTCAGAACCGAGAATAACTGTTTGCACCCATGCAAATCTTTAGAGCTTCTCAATTCTAACACTAGAAATCATCATTAAGCTAATTATCAAAGGTCATGCCAAACAGTGCAAGAATGAAGACTTAAATTTAGATGCCCACAAAATGCTCTTTCATTTGAAAAACATAAAATAGCATGTGTTTCTCCTGTGTGCCTGCATATAAGAACAAAATTCTAGAATTGTTTTCTAAATTAATTCTGTGGTCTTCAAATTCCCAAATGGGTTTGCAAAGTCGGAAACAGGTTTGATATATTTTATCTTGTAAGACCGCAAAACCATATTTGATATCTTTCTCATATCTGATCTGTAAGGTTTCACTCCAAAGAGAAAGGAAAACTTGAAATCGCATCATATGACCTCCTTAAATATTATGTAAATGACATTTTAGACACAATATTGTGCCAATGAAAATTGTTGTTTTTTCTTTGTTTTTTGGAAGTTACCTGAACATCTACATCCCAGTCTCTGAAATAAGGGGCTGGTGATGGTATATAATCATTCTTCCTCCATCTACAACGCAAATATCCTGTCATTTATTTACAGACAAAAGAAATCAGAACATTTCAGGATGCTGCAGATGACGTTTCTAACCTAGAATATGGGATACAGGACAGAAGGACCAGCGGCAATGGCAATAGCAGTAGATACCAGGCAATATGGAAAGATCCTCCTGGAGTCTCTTCTTAAACACACAATTGGGAGAAGAATCTTAATCACAGTATGTAATATTAAAGGGATAGTTCACCCAAAAATGAAAATTCTGTCATTAAATACTCACCCTCATGTCGTTTCCAAACCGGTAAGACCTTCGTTCATCTTCGGAACACAAATTAAGATATTTTTTGATGGAATCTGAGAGCTTTCTGACCCTGCATAGACAGCAAAGGTACTACCACGATCAACGCACAGAAACGTAGCAAGGACATCGGTAATATAGTCCATGTGACATCAGGGGTTCAAACGTAAATTTACGAAGCTAACGAGAATACTTGTGGTGCGCAAAGAAAACAATAATAACATAATTTATTCAACAGTTCTTCTCCCCCGAGTTACCGTCTTTCACCATTTTGGAGAGTACCCCAGAACAAAATCAGCGTTGTTTACATTCAGCATGCGCGCGCTTTATCTTGAACGTAAACAAAGCTGATTACGTTCTGGGGAACTCGGTAACTCGGGGAGAAGAACTGTTGAATAAGTTATGTTATTATTGTTTTCTTTGCGCACCACAAGTATTCTCGTAGCTTTGTAAATTTACGGTTGAACCCCTGATGTCACATGGGCTATATTACCGATGTCCTTGCTACGTTTTTGTGCATTGATCATGGTAGTACCCTTGCTGTCTATGGGAGTGTCAGAACGCTCTCAGATTCCATCAAAAATATCTTAATTTGTGTTCCGAAGATGAACGAAGATCTTACAGGTTTGGAACGACATGAGGGTGAGTAATTAATGACAGAATTTTTTTTTTTTTTGGTGTGAACTATCCCTTTAACAGTTTCTTTGCAGTTGTTTGAGTGTTCTGTGAACTGACTCACTGTGAATGTCCCCTGATCTCCAGTGCAGCGCAGGGGCCCACAGACTCCACATGCCTTTGTAATCCACTTGATCTGGCCGCGATCTCACGCGTACTGTGTAATTTGTGTGAGGCTCAAATCTAGACTCATCCACATACATCTTCTGGTCAACAGCTTCTACCTCATACAGCTGAAACACAAACATCGGTCACTTAAGAGCACTTTCAAAGAGGAACCTCAGAAATTAGTGACAAATGAGGTCAACAGGTGCAAAACATGTGTAGCTTGACCATGAAACTGGGTGCTACTTGTACTACGTATTGCGTACTACTCCCATGGTGTAAAACAAACACGTGTGAGAAAGAGGTGTTAATAGAAATTAATAGAAAGTCTCATCATTGTTAAAGCCATGTAATGTGAAATGATGTTCACATCCTGTTTCACTTCTGTAATGTGATACCAAGTAACTGTTTTAAATATGTCTATTAATTTTTAATAAGTAAATTCAGAAGAGGAACAAACTTGTGTGGTTGTGTCTATACACGTAGACATGTAGCAAAATTAGATCAGAAAAACAAATCAGCGTGAGAAAAATAATTTGATGACTATAAATACTATTTTAATAACAAGCATTTGTGAATTGTGCACATGACCAGGAACATTTTAATAAAGTGGTTTCACGTTGATTTCAAAGAAACATTTCAGCCAAAAATGAAAAAGAACAACAACAACAAAAAAAGTTGTAATAATTACAAATATACTTTAAAATATAATTTATTTATGTGATGCAGTGCTGAATTTTCAGCATCATTACTCCAGTCTTCAGTGTCACACGATCCTTCAGAAATCATTCTAATATGCTGATTTATTATCAGTGTTGAAACTGTTGTGCTGCTTAATATTTTTTGGAACCTGTGATACTTTATTTGATTCTTTGATTAATAAAACGTTGAAAAGAACAGCATTAATGCAACATAGAAATCTTTTCTAACAATATAAGTCTTTACTACCAATTTATATCAATTTAAACACATCCTTGCTGAATAAAAGTATTAATTTCTTTAAAAAAAAAAATTTACTGACTCGTAGTGTATATTGTAACACATTTCTATTTTGAATAAACACTGTTCTTTTTAACTTTTTATTTGTCAAAGAATCCTAAAAAAAAAGTATTACAGATCCCAAAAAATATTAAGCAGCACAGCTGTTTCCTACATTAATTATAAATCAGCATATTAGAGTGATTTCTGAAGGATCATGTGACACTGAAGACTGGAGGAATGATGCTGAAAATTCAGCTTTGCATCACAGGAATAAATTATATTTTAAAGTATATTAAAATAGAAAACTCTTATTTTAAATTGCAATAATATTTCACAATTACCTCTCTATATATATATATATATATATATATATATATATATATATATATATATATATATATATATATATATATAATGTGTGCTGGTGAATCATGTACAATAGCACCAGAAACACTGAAATAGTTTGACCAAAATTTCAACATCAATACTTTTAAAGCGAGCGCACACCTTGTGTTGACTGTAAATGTTGAGCTGGTACTGTAAGTGGGACACGAGGAGTCTGTCTGCGTCATATCCGCTCTGCCACTGGAAAAGAGCCCTGTCTTTCTCCCAGAGCAGCGACAGGTTCGACGGAGGGACTGGACGAACTACAACGCACACACACACACACACACGTTTACTTAGCTAAATGGGGACATTCCATAGGTGTAATGATTTTTATACTGTACAAACTGTTTTTTCGCCCTACACCTAAACCTACCCCTTACAGGAAACTTTCTGCATTTTTACAATTTTAAAAAACTTTTTAAAATTTGTTTACTTTATTTTTATACCAGTTTTACAAATGAGGACGTCCCCAAAGGGAGGTTTTTGGAGATTTTGTCAGGTTTAGCTCACTTTTGGGTACAAATTTGTCCCCAAAATATGGTTAAGTAGGTACACACACACACACACTCACACACACACAAACAAACATCAGTTAGCAGAACTGTGGTCTCATGTGCCTCTGAAATGCATGTAGCTAGCTCTTACTGTGTTTACTAGGCATGAAGTCAGCATCTAGTACGACTGAGAAGTTGTTGCCATGGTAACCGGAATAAAGGGAGATCCTGTAGCTGTCCACATCGGTGAAAGTCACATGCGGTGATAAATCCAACTCGCACAGTAACGACTGTTCTCCCATCTTCAGTGTGCAGTCATGGTTTTCGCTACACAAAAACATAGTCATTTACCACAAGCAAGCATGCACGCGATTGCTTGGTAGTATGTTCGTGATTTGATTGATGTGTGATAATGATTCAGTGCAGTATTCTCACTCATATGTGCTGAAATGCAGCCAGTAGGACAATTCATTGCCCAGAGACTCAGCCGAGATGTTCAGAGAGCAGGTGATATTGGATAAATAATTACTGAGACACTCCAGACTGTACTGTTCACCTGAACACATTTTTATAGGCGACATGTAATACATCACAATAAACGCAGTGCAAATATATATATGCAGATATGGATATATGGATATTTTTTCATCAATATGGAACAAGACTCTTCTATTTAAATCAATATAATAAACAAGTTAGATCAAAGGTAATCTAAAAGTAGTCTGATAATATTACCTGAAATATGTAATGTAATGGATTATGTATGATAGTAACAACATTTTTTGTCATGTAATTTGGAATCAGTAACGGATTACAATTTGTAAGTAATCTACCCAGCTCTGTATATACATATATTTATATATATATATAAAATTAAATAAAATAGTGAGTAGAAAATCTTACCCCAAGTTATAAAATTCACCAGAGTATGAGAGAAACAAACCAATGTGAGGATAAAAGAAGAGCAATGCATGTTCTCTTTACCCTGTAACAAATAAACAAATATATATCAATAAAAAGTGACAGATCTTATGTGTACACACACATACACACGCACACATACACACACACACACACACACACACACAAACAGAATATTAATTGTGATGTTGATTTGACATTTTCTGAAGCTTGCACAGTGACTATAATTGCAATAAAAAGTCACGTTTATTCTTGCAGCTTCCACACAACATTACTTCACTGTGAATTTTAAATTATAATTAATTCAACAAAGCATTGAACAGAACATATCTGAGGCCATTATTAGACACTGAGATGACTGTCAGATTCTGATTGTCAATTCACCAAATAATTGCTGTTTACAAAGAGTCTGTGAACATAAAACTAAATGTACATGCTACTAAACTCTCACCTTCTACTGAGAATGGGATTTCTTTTACTTTAGTGCTATGAACTTAATTCGTATGGAAAGTACATGAGATATTACAAAAGAAACCACAGGAGAAAAAAAAATGAAACCAAATTGCTTAACGAAAACTACAACGAAAACTTAAGCAAACACACTTGGCAGAAATAAAAGCATGTTACGTGCTAATCAAATAAGAAAAGTGATTGAAAGCTTATATTACCTGTAGCTGGTCGCAGACTGTTGTTGTTTCTGGTTTCACACGCACATGAGAGAAAGCTTCAGTTGTGCATCTCTCTCTCTCTCTCTCTATCAGTCATCATATCTCTTATCAGATTGCATCTCTGTCATCATCTCCAATCTTTTCACACTTTGGTATTCAGATCAGCAAATTCTCTGACACGTTTCTGGCGTTTACCAACCGACATCATCACACTTCTGCTGGATGCTTTAACTGCTTTGAAAGCCTAAACAACTCCATATTTAATTATGTTAACATGTTTTAGCAGATTCCTTCATTTTTAAATGTAATTATGAACATCTGTCAAGTGTGTAATGGATCATACGGATGCATGCACATAGTCTAATATTATGTCTAACTTTATCCACAAACACTGGCGTAAATTGCACGATATATACTAGCCTAAACTGGCTGATTTTTTATTACGAAATGTAACTATAGTATTTTGTATAAAAAGTTGGATGTTTAAGTATATCCAACTTTATCCACATGCTACATATATGCGACATCTCAACTAGCAAATCTCACCTGCTTCATTGTTTACATATTTATATCGTCGCAAAATGCAACTATCTTCCAAGTCATTAAAGAAAGTTGGATATAGACGCATATCTAATTTTAATATACTTGTATAGGTTGATATATGTCAACTAGCATATCAAAACATAGCTGGTCCTTTGCTGGTTTAAATGGGTCCTTTGCTGGTTTATGCTGGTCATGTGCTGGCAAAGGACCAGCTTAAACCAGCAAAGGACCAGAAAAAAACAGCAAAGGACCAGTTTAAACCAGCAAAGGACCAGCTTAAACCAGCAAAGGACCAGCTTAAACCAGCAAAGGACCAGTTTAAACCAGCAAAGGACCAGCTTAAACCAGCAAAGGACCAGAAAAAACCAGCAAAGGACCAGTTTAAACCAGCAAAGGACCAGCATAAACCAGCAAAGGACCAGCTTAAACCAGCAAAGGACCATCTTAAACCAGCAAAGGACCAGCTTAAACCAGCAAAGGACCAGCATAAACCAGCAAAGGACCAGCTTAAACCAGCAAAGGACCAGCTTAAACCAGCAAAGGACCAGCATAAACCAGCAAAGGACCAGCTTAAACCAGCAAAGGACCAGCTTAAACCAGCAAAGGACCAGCTTAAACCAGCAAATGACCAGCTTAAACCAGCAAAGGACAAGCTTAAACCAGCAAAGGACCAGCATAAACCAGCAAAGGACCAGCATAAACCAGCATCTCAGCGTCAAAACATACCTAACCAGCATATGCTGGTTTTTTCAACAGGGGATAGACCTATAAAAATATAAACATTAAAACCTGCTTTGAAACAACATACACTGTCAAAAGCACTACATTTGACTTGACATGTTGGCTAATGCAAAAACTATATACAGAGTTGTGCAGCGAGCTTTTAAAATAATTGTTGTGAGTCTATAGTTCCGTTTTAAACACAAGTACAAGTGTATGGTTTATATTATTATCATTGATGTGATAGTTAAAGTTGAGGTTAAATGTGAAACTACACACTGCTTAAACCCACGCCTACCTTGATGAGAATCAGACTGAGGCCTATATTTATTCATGCGACCTTGGGGGAGCTTTAGTGATGGCTAGCTTTGTTTGTATGTTTTATGCCTTCTAACCCCACATTCTTGCAGAAGGTCAAGCAAAACGAGCTTTTATTAAGAGCTGTTTTCTCCATACTGAGTCAAGTGCCTTTCCGATTAACAGCAGTTTTGCAATGATGATATCTGATCAGTCTTTCTGAGGCCCTGAGATGTTCAATCTGATTGGTTGTCCTAAATAACATCTATGGATGACAACACCTAATGCTGCCTTATGATAAGTGCTACCCAGGCGTCCTACTTTCAAGCATGCCCTACAAAGTAACAGATGTCTTCACAAATGAGTCTCGCAAAGTAAGTAAACACATGGCAAATGGATGGTGCCAGTATTCAGTAAGCGTCGTGCCAGTGTGCCAACACTTTAGTGAACTTAATATCACTTGATATGGTGTGCTTGGGTTTGTGGTTTTTATCTGAGAATCAGATACTGAGACAAGAAAATAACAGATGGTTTACATGGGATCTGCAGTGTTCATGCACAATTGAACAAGCTATAAATATTGAATGAATATTGAAATTGAATTCATTTTCTATTTGTGATTGAACATTTGCAATTTGTATTTGAATTGCAATATTCCAACACATTATCAAGACACATTTTTATTTGTCAAACGTATCTTAAAGGGATAGTTCAGCCAAAAATGATAATCGTTATTAATTACTCACCCTTGTGTTGTTTTAAACCTGCATCAGTTTCTGTGGAACCTAAAAGAAGATATTTTATAGAATGTTGCTAACCAAACCATTTCGGTACCCATTGAGTTCCATTGTATTTTATATTCATCCAAGATGTAAATGAGTTAGTTTCTTCATCAGAACAGGTTTAAAGAAATTTAGCATTTAGCATCACTTTCTCAACAATGGATCCTCTGCAGTGTATGGGTGCCATCAGAATGAGAGTCCAAACAGGTAATAATAATATCACACAAGTAAAAAAGTCCATCCCCTGATACCATCTTTATCCCTGTAATCTATATCCACATATTTGTTTAGGACCAATTTGGACTGATTTGTCTTGTAAACATTGTTTGATCTGTGCAAATTTCTCTCTTGATTCAGATGAGATACATTTTTCACTAAATTTCTTATTGTTGACCTTGTTATCATTATTCCAATCTGAATTGTCACACAAAACACCAATAAAAAGATTTAAAGTACATTTTTCACTGGAAAAGCAAAATTATCGATAGAGGACTATCACGCAGCCTTTCGCTTCACAAGTTGTTAACTGATGGACTGGAGTGGTGTGGATTATTGTGAAGTTTTTATCAGCTGTTTGGACTCTCATTCTGACGGCACCCATTCACTGCAGAGGATCCATTGGTGAGCAAGTGATGTAATGCTAATTTGGGCCGTACTCAGTGGTGCTTCTCAAACGGAAGGCAGCATCCTACGAAGACCGCATATCTCGGCTGCCATGTCATCAAACGTCGCTGAAGGCCATCTCAATCGGAAGAATCCTTGGAAGACAGCCTTCGTTTCGCGTCCTTCATTCAGCAAAAATTTATTTGAAGGATGCATGGGATGTATCCTCCGCGACCTTCAATCACCCACAATCCTTTGTACCATTCCATTTCATGATAGTAAACTGACGAAAAACGAGTCAGTACTGAGCTTGTCTGAATTTACTATGCAATGTAAGACAAAAAAATAATGTTTTCGGACATGAAAGGATAGATGTTATCTTTTGTTTTGGTGTAAATTACTTACTAAACGCTAAACTGCCAATAATTTAAGCCATGAGACTAGACGACTGTGATTCATTGTATTGCATTAATAGAAAACAAAATAATATAAAAATTTGTAATACAAAGTATTTTTCTAAAACTAAGTTTTATTAGTATTTTCGTGCCGTGGCAGTGAGGGTGGGAACATATGTGACGTAGCCACGCGCACTTACTAGGGCCTAGGTCTAGGTCTTTAGTAACTAGACTGTCCCATTCTAGCGTTTAATGCCGAGGAGGATTCTAGCCTACAAGTCTCTGAAGGACTGAGCTAGGAAGGACGCAGTCTCGGAAGGATGCAGCCTTCCATTTGAGAAGCACCCATCGTGTTTCCACCGCAGGAACCAGGATCTAAATAAAGTTACGGGTAAAAATGTGCCCCTCAGAAAGTCCCTGCTCGCGAGGATGTACTTTTTCAAAGGTCCGGAACTTTGGGGGGCGTGACTTGGGCGCTGAACATGTTGATTGGTTGAGTTCAAGCAGCATTGTATTTCAACAACCATATATTCACATAATTTTCAAAATATTACTGTTATTGTGTCATAAAGTGTAGTTTTAAAAGTATTTCAGGTGAGAATGTAGTTGTTTAAAACTAAAATCTGTGGTTTATTTATAAAGTCAGCGCCTATTTGAAAATGTGCTTCGCTGATTTCGGAGATGTTAGCTGCAGGAGATCAGCGGCCACTCAGTGCTCATGTTTCAACTCGGCTAGTCCTTCTGACAATTGCTGCTGGCTCTGATGTCTCTGTAGTGGTTAACATAAGATGTAATATGTTTTTGGTAAATCTAACAGCTAATCTTTGGTCTTTATTCTATTAATCTATTAATATAAGACAGCCTTCGTTTCGCGTCCTTCATTCAGCAAAAATTTATTTGAAGGATGCATGGGATGTATCCTCCGCGACCTTCAATCACCCACAATCCTTTGTACCATTCCATTTCATGATAGTAAACTGACGAAAAACGAGTCAGTACTGAGCTTGTCTGAATTTACTATGCAATGTAAGACAAAAAAATAATGTTTTCGGACATGAAAGGATAGATGTTATCTTTTGTTTTGGTGTAAATTACTTACTAAACGCTAAACTGCCAATAATTTAAGCCATGAGACTAGACGACTGTGATTCATTGTATTGCATTAATAGAAAACAAAATAATATAAAAATTTGTAATACAAAGTATTTTTCTAAAACTAAGTTTTATTAGTATTTTCGTGCCGTGGCAGTGAGGGTGGGAACATATGTGACGTAGCCACGCGCACTTACTAGGGCCTAGGTCTAGGTCTTTAGTAACTAGACTGTCTCATTCTAGCGTTTAATGCCGAGGAGGATTCTAGCCTACAAGTCTCTGAAGGACTGAGCTAGGAAGGACGCAGTCTCGGAAGGATGCAGCCTTCCGTTTGAGAAGCACCCATCGTGTTTCCACCGCAGGAACCAGGATCTAAATAAAGTTCCGGGTAAAAATGTGCCCCTCAGAAAGTCCCTGCTCGCGAGGATGTACTTTTTCAAAGGTCCGGAACTTTGGGGGGCGTGACTTGGGCGCTGAACATGTTGATTGGTTGAGTTCAAGCAGCATTGTATTTCAACAACCATATATTCACATAATTTTCAAAATATTACTGTTATTGTGTCATGAAGTGTAGTTTTAAAAGTATTTCAGGTGAGAATGT